TTTAATAGCTGTTCTTTTGCTATATTGATTTTGTGTTTCAATCCAGGGAAGGCATTTTATGTTGTGGGTGCTGAAACAATAGTGAGAGACTATGCCACATATTTTATTTCTATTGAATTGAATACTTTTGTGAAATAGGACGTTCTACGTAATAAAATGGCTAAAATTTAAACAAAGTCATTCATAGTAGATGTGAAATGCACCATCCCGGAGACACTTACCGAGTCAGCGGTAGGAACGAGATCTCTGAAGTGCTGAACAGCTGCATCACTTTTGTAATAAAACATTGCATCTACAATATGGTAACTTTTAAAGAGGATATTAACATAAATTGATTTTATTCCAAGCATTTTTAGGCCATTTGTATTGGTCCATTTATCAGGAACTCTAAAAATTACAGCAGTGATATAAAAAAGCAGCAGTAGTTAATGTGAATGTCATGTTACCAATTTGGGAATCTGTATGATTCTTTGTGCCCAATAAAGCTATTAAACTGGAGAGGAAGCCTTTCTCACAGAGTGTGTCAGAGTCACTGGGCCGTAATGAAAGTCTGCTCAGCAGATCTTCTTAATCAAATATTTCATGGTGATTCCTCTGGGATTCTGACAGGGGAAAGTGCACACACAAAACGAGCTAAGCCTATTTTCAGCTTCTGTGTAGAACTGAAATAGATCCAGTGTTGGGCTACAATATTACTGTGTCTAATGACTATGAGCTTATCTTTTAACTGCTCTCTCTCTCTCTCTCTCTCTGTCTCTCTGTCTCTCTCTCTCTCTCTCTCTCTCTCTCTCTCTCTCTCTCTCTCTCTCTCCTTGCTGAGTTTAGAGCACAGGTGTTGACCTTAGCAGCCATGAGGCATATGCTTCCATGTCCACATTTTCCTGCGCTCTCTTGTTTCCAGCTTCAGCCCTGGATGGACCCCCTGCATGTGATCCAGGAGCCACTGCATGCCGCTGGACGAAATGATTGAAATGGAAAGAGTGAAATTCATAGGAGTTCATCTGGTGCATTCAACATTCAATGACTGAGTAGCTGCTCAACTGCAGCTACTCAGTCATTGTAATCAGAGCTGGAGCACCATTCGCGAAGTGCTATAAAGCTGCTCACAAGCCTGAATTCAGAATATTCCATCTGTACTAAGTAAACTGGGACACTAGTGAAAGCTTCAAGGGAAAACAATAACATTGTTTTAAAGGGTTTGTAAGAGCATAGACATATCAAAATTATGAGAGATGTCTGATTTTTACTCTGTATTTGTTCATTTTTAGATCCAGCACATTTTACGTTTTTATAAGGTGGGAAGCCCATTATCTCTCTTTAAAACAATAACACTACTTTTACTGAAGTGGCATTTTGCTCCAAATTGAAATGATGTGACCACTGCACAAAATGACAAGAGACAAAATAGAATTCCTGACATGCACTAGATTAAATTTATCAAAGAAACCTGCCTGGACTTTTTTTTTAACACCTCTGAAGTTCTTTTTGCATTTTCTGCTTTACGCAATCCAAGTAATTCCAAACACATTCAGTGGTGTTGAGGTCTGGGATCTGAAGTTCTGAGAACACTAGCAGTGTTTTTGATTGATGTCTGTTTCTTTTTTTCAGCAGCTGCTTATTGGCAGCTACACATCCTTTCAGACCCACTTATATACATTTTTATTAGCTCCTATACAATTATTTTCAGTAATTTCCATGCAGTCACCTGTCATGATTAGAATGGAGTATTCCATGTTGTTATGTGATGACATGATTGCATAAAGACACACTAGTATGAACAAGACAATTAGTAGATGATCTACATTAGGAGAGGAACTTCTGAGTGTTGAGAGGGAAAATCAAATAAAGTGATCCAAGTGCAGCAGAGAAACGCAATGTTGTCATTACTCATTACTTCAATGTTACTCTGTACAACATTACCTTAATGTATTGGAAGATTTTTTCAAGCATTATTTCTTAACACAAGCAAAAAAGTCTAGAGAAAATTTCAATAATCTTATAATATTTTACCAAAAACTTAAAATGAGAAATATTAGGTCTCTACTTGATTTGAGATGATTTCACTTGCTATCATTTTTTCGCAGTGTAAATGGTTGCACCACTTAGGAGCCTCAACTAATTAAAAATTGAAAATATAATTTAAAAATCTAAATTTAAATCTAATTTAAAATCTAATCCAAAGGGGTCCCATTGCTGTCTTTTGCCTTAAGCCACAGAAGCGTTAAATCCTCCCCTGCTACAAGGTCTTGCATGGTTGTTAAGAGTCTCATTTCTCTAATGATGTTTTGGAAGATTTGGAAACTTAGCAGTAGTGAGTGGTAGATGGATGGATGGATGGATGGATAGATAGATCGATAGATAGATTCAACTATAATCTCGAAGAACATTGTAAAGGACAACTCAGAATTTATTAGCGTAGACTGTTTGTAAGCACACAAGACACAAGTGCCCAGGGCTGTCTGGAGATTTGAGTGTACTCGTCAGTGTGCCATACTTAAAATATAACCTTCTTTCTCAGCTGTGCCCCTGGAACCATTTTCTGATCTACTGTCCCAATAAAAGATCCTCACAGTTGTCTCTTGGCCCACCCTGCCCACAGAAGCCCTCCTTTTTTAAGGAGCCATTGACATTCTGTGGAAGAGTGGCCAGTGGGGTATAGGGTGTCTCAAGTGTAGTGTGAACAGCTGAGAGGTGTGATTTCACAGGCTGGCCGGCCCTGTCAGAGTGCTGAGGCCTGGGAACAGGAGGTGCAGGAGAGGCCCAGGCCTCTAAAGGACACTGACAGGTGGATGGCCGCCAGCGAGGGGGAGGGCAGCCCATAGAAAAGGCAGAGAAGGCAAGCCTGGCCTGGATTCAGTCCAGCAGTCGACTGCAGAGGAGGAGGATATGGACGGAAGAGCGGCGCAGGGGACGGGGGAACAGACAGAGGCGGACAAACTGGACCTTTTAGTATCTGAGTGTACTTCTGGTGAGGGACCGTCTTTCAAGGGATGGGCAAGTAACGTGGTCATCTAAACTGGTTGCCAGTGAAGTCATTTCACTGCATTCGGATTCAAAGGTGTTTCGTTATGAAGGGGGAGATTTCTGCTGGTTACATCTTCCTAGCAATTGCTACTTGCATCTGTTTTGGTGCCAAGAGCATGAAGGAGAGGTCCTTTATTTGACAATGTCTTTACATTCAGGTGTATTTCAACTAAACCACTAAAACACTATGGCTGATTTTGGTAGGTCAGTAAAGGTTAAAGGTTAAAATTTCTAGTGAATGACGGTACTGTCCACAAATTGTGTAGCAGAATATGAATTCTCCTAAAAACACCAACCCTGTGACAAAGGGAACCGAGCACATGAATGGACTGGGGATCAATATTAAAGGATTTTTTAAAAAATACATATTTCACATTTTCACAGTGCTTCGTTCAACAGCATTTTCCATCTTACTATGGATCTTCTGGATTTAATAGATCACTGTGAACTACCATTTCCTGTTCTAGGACTAGTAAAAACCTGTAGAATTTGTAAACTTGGCTTATTTTTATGCGATAAATGGACAGAACAATTCAGTACTTACTCTCTTGAGACGACATACTTCCTTATATCCCCATATAATGAATCCAGCTATGGAATGTAAGGAAGTGTGTGGTTTCAGAGGGATTGACACTCCGAAGAATATCTTACAAGGCCTGATCTAGAATCTACGGAGAAGCCCAGCAAAATATATTGTACACAGAGCTTGACTAATGAAATAAGAGTTCAAAGATATTTAAACAATGACTGTACTGCCATTTCAGAAAACTGTAAATAAGTACACTATTGTCTTATGTATAGCCTGTAACCATTTTTTATCTGATGTCCTCCTTTTTCTTGCATGAATGGAATGTCAAAGTCAGTCCCAGGTCATTCATACAGCACACAGACAGCAGAGAGGGATCATGTTATATATGTAGCGAAGTTTTCTCCATGACAAGCATGCTGATAGTCACTAGCAAAGCTGCATCCTATGCAGCCAGTGATGGTGCAGGCTGAGTGACAGAACACAGGTGCAGCCCCTGAGAAGAGTTTACTCTTATAAATAGAGGGACAGGTGGGAGGAGGCTAATTTGGGAGAGCTGTTTCCATACAGGACATAATGGCACATCTATTTACACACTCTGTGTCTTGGTTGCAATGAAAAAGAGAAATAATCATAATAAAAAGAATATTTGTTTTTTTAGGGAAATAGCTTTTAGCCTTAAAGAGGCCTTTAAAACAGCCTCATAAACCTTTTGTACAGCAGATGGTGCTCTAGCTCTGGCATAATTCTTCACTTTCTAAGACTGTTAAGGATGGAAGAAAAAGCTCATTTTAGGGCAGAAAACATAATTGCTGGTAAAGACATTACTTCAAGGTAAAATTAGGTATTTGGGGGCCATTTTCTTCTGAATATTTTTTTTTCCATTAATAGATAAGAACATTGCTGTAAATCTTTAAGGTAGTGCTTCAAGATGAGCATGTCTCAATTTGATCCAAAAATATGGATGACGGCCAGTAACAATAGACAAATGTAGTTCACTTGATATGTAAAGTTATATCAATCTCCAATGTAAATGTACAGTAATGTGACACATTGCGTCAGTTCCTCACCTTTTCACTGATACCTACATACCTTTCCTCGGGCAGCACGTCTTAGTGGCTGGTAAAACGGAACCAAGTCAGGAGTCTTAGTGAGGTTTGGTCCCCTTCAACCAGCTACTGCGCCGTGATTTCAGCCCGCAAGACAGTCCTCTGCTGGATCACTGCATATATTACACTCCTTCTCACTTGGAAATACAGGATACAGTGTTTTCACATGTACTGCCAAGAGAGTATATGCACATAAAATTGTTTTCTCCTTGTCAAAATTTCATCTTACAAGCTCTAAACTGCTCTCTACAGGCAAGCAGTAGCAAATGCAAAAGGATGACCAGCTTCCTCTCTGCAGTACTTTCATTTACAATTCAGTTAAAAAAAAAAAAGACATTTCGTAGTAAAAAATTAAAAACGTGTTTTATTATAAAGCCAAAGGTCACTTGACTAGTCCTCAGACCAACAAAACAAAGGCAAACCACAAAAATAATATACAGTACATAAATAATCATTTTGAACAATATATAGCAAACCAAACATCACATGTTCATTATTATGCATAAAATGTCTTGACGTAGTCCCTGATATCATTGAATGACTTTTTTTTTAATGATCTTCATGGCCAGTTTATAAATGCTATGCCCTTTTGTGTAACAAAAATACAATGCACAACAAGCAGAGACTGATAACCATCTAAACCTACAATCACAGATACGTTTTCGAAATGTAACATCTGTGACTGCATCAATAAAGTAATGAAAACAAAAAAGTGGTCCCTTTTATTTTCTCTCAATTTGCAGATCTGCACACTCCAGAATAAAAAAAAAGACAAAAAACAGATTTCTTCCCCAAACAAAACAAAAAATATACAGCCCCTCCACTTTTCATGGACATCATTTCACAGTAGGTTTCACGCCAACTAAATGAACATGAAACATGATTTGAAAATCACTCACAAAAAAAAAAACACATACAGAAAGAACTACATGTCCCTCTAATGCCCTGGAAAAAACGAGGCGTGTGCTGGGGGCTGAGGAACCCCCCTCCCCCTAACATCAGTGCAGCATTGTTGCAGTGGCACCCGATACAGTAAAATCAGGGAATGGTGTGTGTCACCTCCCAAACAAGGCACCTAGACATTACCGTCATTGTGCATCCTACATAATTTAGCAGCCACCAGAGGTTTTCAGTGTAATCAAATCCACTACAGAGGAAAAAACAAACAAACAAACAAATAGCTGTGGTATCAACCTGGAAAAGGGTGAGTCATTCGATTTATTGCAATACTCTTTCATTCAGTAATTCACAGAGAATTTATAAGGACAGAGGTCTTCAAGTCTGTTTCATCAAATTGATCTTATAATGGCAGGCAGATTAAACAATCCTCAGATTCTTTAAATCTAATTTGTATGTGTATTAAATTTGATCTAAACGGTCTGTACACCAGATGCAGTCTAGCTCAAACCATGCAGGGGGTTGTACAAAAGTCACATAATTCAAGCTAGCTGTGCTTTTCTTGCCTGTCTCTTGCAATTTATTTGCCGTATTGTCTTTTTGAATCCCTTTCAAAGCTTGTCTACAACCAAACTCCAGACACGTTTGCTGACACTGCTGGTTGTGCAAGACCTATAATAGTTAACTGATAGGGATATTTTCCAGAATCCTATACAAGGCACAAATGTAAAACTGCACTCATCATGTGTAGCTTGCACCTTTGTAATGTGAAAAAATTAAGGCAACATCAGTTAGACTTTAAGAGAAGGAGATAAGAGCTCCTAAAAAGGGGAACTGACTTTATCCACATTTCCTTATTCTGCTACATCTCCCCCTCCTCCTCTTCCTCTTCCTTCTCTGGTAATGGCATTTTTATCCACCCTTCAGTGGAGTGGCCGTGCTTTTTTTGGTGGCGCTTGTAGTTGTCCCAGTGTCCGGTGGTATAGGCACACTCCTGGCACTTGAAAGGCTTCTCGCCAGTGTGGCGCAGCATGTGGCGCTTCAGGTTCATGCTCTGGTTACAGCTGTAGTTGCACTCGCCACACTGGAAGGGCTTGGCACCTGAGTGGATGCGCTCATGCCGTTTGAGGTTGGCCAGGTTTCCGCAGGCGTAGTCACATAGGTGGCACTTATAGGGCTTCTCGCCTGTGTGCACACGATGGTGCCGCTTCAGGTTGTCAAAGTGGGCAGATGCATAATTGCACTGTGGGCACTTGTAGGGCTTCTCTCCGCTGTGAGTCTTCATGTGACGGGCTAGATGGTTGGGGTACTGTGTGATGAAGCTGCAAGCAGAGCAGGAGTACAGCTTGTCTCCTTTGTCCGGGCTGGTGGGGGAGCCCTTAGCCAGCATGTCCAGGGCACACTTGCCACAGATCTGCGTGGCCGCGCCCTCCTCATCCTCCAACACTGAGCCACACACGCGGCAGGTGAAGGGAAAAAGCAGCACGGGCAGCCCAGGATCTGGTTCCTGGCCTAGCTCCTCTGTGTCCAGCAGGCTGGGGGCATGACGTTCGGCATGCAGGCTGCCATAGCTATGCAGGAAGTCTGGATCACCACTAATGTGCAGAGTCAGATCAGACACCACAGCCTCTGGAGAGAGGAAAAAAAAGAGAGAGAAAAAGGAGGGGCTTTTAGTGAGACAAGAGCAAAATAAGCTTCTTCCTCTTTGCGGGGAATCCAGTTTTAGGAAGTCAACAGTTGTTACTTCCCTTCACACTTACTGTTTAAGTGCATGCTGTACACTGTGTAGTTCCTCTTTGACCAACAAGACTAAGAGAAGCTTTCAAACTAGAAATACCTCCCAGTCAGATGATGAATAATTAACGAATTAAAATCTTCATCTTGCAAATTCTACATACTTTTGGGCACTAAAAAATGGCAATGCAAATTTCAAAAGTGGGACAACAAAGTCGAAGGCGAGACATTTCTGTCTGTTTTTACAGGAATGAGGTCAAACAAACTGATCATACATATACCTTCCACTGTGGGTGTTGACGCATCTGTCTTGTGGCTCATCATGTGTCTCTTTAGGGTCTGGCTACTGCTTGCGCAGAAATCACACTGGCTACACTTGTTGGACTTCTCTTGAGTATGCATACGCTGGTGCCTCTTAAGGTTGCCAAGGGAGTTACAGGCAAATGTACAATAGTCACACTTGTAAGGCTTCTCCCCAGTGTGTGTACGCACATGTCTCTGTAGGTTAACCAGTTGAGCTGAGGCATATGCACAGTGCTGGCACTTGTAAGGCTTTTCACCATTGTGCGTTTTCATGTGCCGCTTCAGGTGGTTGGAGTAGCGTGAGGTAAAGCTGCACAGTTTGCAGGAGTAGGTTTTGTAGGTGCCATTTGCCGTAGACCTCCCTTTGTGCCCTTTCTCTTTGGAGCCCTCCGCAGGCAGAACCTCCTCTCTCCGCCTAACCTCCTGTTCTGTGCCCCTCTCTTCACCTCCACATCGGAGGCAGTAGAGCCCTGCTATGTCCAAAGCTCCACTAAGAGGGTCCCCAAGAAGCTGGCCACATCTCCTGCAGGAGAGGTAGGCTGTGAAGCCAGCATCCCCGCTCATCTCCTCCCGTTCACTCTCAGTGTCTCGTGGGTCCTCAAAGTCACTTTCCATGCTGAGGCGGTTGTAACTGGAGCAGTCTTCATCACTGAAGGCATACGCTGGAATTCCCATGTCAGCAGTCACTGAATTTTGAAAGAAACCCCAGAATAACATAACGCATTTCATCATAAGCTGTAAAATGAAGGGGGTGGTTCTATGTAATGTTTAAATTTAGAAGGTGAAAAATTTAGAAGGAACTCTACTGAGATGACGGCATTACTAACCAGAGTCTCTCTCAAATCCTATGATCTTGTAGTCATTCTCTCCAAACGCCAAGTCTTGTCCAAGGAGAAAATCACTCTCCAGGACCAGGCTCTCTGGGTTAACCCCACCAACACCATCTTCAGATCCCACTGAGAAACCAACACGGTTGGGTTAGCAAGAAAGGGACATTATACTGTTTCTGTTGGAACAAAACCTTGTATACCCACAAAAATAAGTTTTTAACTTGCAATATAAGTTAATGTGCCATTATTTTAGACCATTTCTACTGGCCCATTTGGCATACAATTTTAAATGGCAGCTGGTTAATTCACATAGCAAAATAAATAAATAAATAAAATAATAATAATCGGGACACAAGTTTCTTATTTTCTGACACCAAAGATATATTATAGTATGTATTTATAATAAACCTCAAATCAAAACTGACATGTTTTAGCATGGCTAGTTTATGTGCCTGATCATAATTAAGCATGACTCATTATATCACATCATTCAGAAAAAATTCTTGTTTCTCTGTATTCTTCGATTAAAAGGTAGTAACTTTTGTCTGCCTCTAAAATGTTTTCGATTTTTTGCTTTGGCTTTGGTGTTATGATTTCCAATACACATTAACTCTAAAGGCTATTGAAAATGTTAATACGGTCATGTGACAAAAGACAGTAAAAAATAAAGGGTCATTTTATGACGGACATTAGAAATGTTCAAGGTTACAGCTGGATTGATCAGCCAAAATGACAGGAAGGTGTCATATCCCAGATTACAAATGTAAGCTCTTACTGCAACATGAGTGAAGCACAAGGGAGGAAAAGGACAGGACAGGACAGGACAGGAGAGTAAGTGACTGAGGAAGGAACCGTGGAAAGGATTCAGATAAATGCAGGGAGGGGTACACAAGCAGGTCAGAGATGGGTTAGCTCTGATGATCTTGGCAGAGATGGGGTTTGTTTAGAGGAAATGGAGCAAGGAAAAAATGACAAAGGAAGAGGGGAGGCCAAAATGACATCTTTTAAAGTGAAGACACTATTGAGCATGGTGTTTCAGCAAACCCAAGATAAGAACTGGTAGGTCTTATTCAATACACACAGTAATACGAACTGTTGTTTAATCTTAACAATCAAGCTCAGTTATGCAACTAATTGTTTTGTAGTTAACCTATATGCCTAAAGATTGGCTTACCAGCAGAAGAGACAGGTCTTTTATGCCACTCACAGTGTGTGCCCTTACTGAAATGAATTACTAAACTAAAGCTCATGACAAGCCACAGTTCAGAACTAATCACCACAGGCATGTCAAGGAAGGCAATGTCACCTACTCAACATGACAGAGATGACAGAGGAGCCAAAGTGGCCAATACAGCCTGAAACATACGATGACACTCTTTGGAAAGTACTTTGTCCTGCATATGACATGCGTACTAAGCCAGCTATACGCTTCACATACCTAAAGGCAGTACTTACATTTCACAGGCTGCGGATTTGACTGTTTTCTTCTGGGCATTTTCTAGCAGTCCTTCGAGTTGCAGTTTCTTCTGGTCGACTCCGAATGAGCTCATTCCCCCTCTACACTACACTGTCATCTTCCTCTTCCACCACCACACAAAGACAGGGCTATCAGTGTCATCAACTCGCTCATCATGGCTGTTCCCCACTTTCCTTCTCAATCTCATGAAATAACTGCGTAGTTAACCAGACTCTGCAGCGGACAATCTAACGTAAATGTACTGGACTTCTTACGAACTAAAGGACATTGTGCATCAGTGTAAAACACAGTTCAACACAGACAGGACTAAGACGGAAACCTAACTAGCCTGCAAAGCTGTATGCAAGTCAATCTCACTGACATCTAGCTTAGCTACTAGATGGAGCTGGAGCTAGAGCTAGCAGGGTAGCTAAAGTAGCTCAGTTATTTTGTCGTCAACTTTAGCTCATGATGACAGGCTACGCGCCACAGAGAATTAACCCCGGACACAGAAAGCCACAACGTACGCCCGTCCAGCTGTGAATGAATTTGTATTCTGAGCTGTATTAAAAATGACTACTAACGTTAAGTTAATTTGGGTAGGCCTAGCCAGAACAACGGTAACGTTATTAGACTAACTTACCCAATAGATTTGCTAAGTGGACCGTACTAACACTGCTAACTACGTTTGGTGAAGTGCTGAGAAACTCTTACTGACCGACAGAAATCCAACACGGACGAGGAAATAAAACTTGTGTTAAGTTACAGAGTGTCGTGGACAACCGATTCGATCACCTACAGACCACAACAACGCTGTGAACAGTTATTACCGTGACGTTATGCTAACATTAACACTGTACCGGGAACTGACTGCTTGCTTACGACCGAGCGACAAGTTGTAAACTTGATCTAGATACAGTTTAATTCAAGAACCTTTAGCCTAACTTGCTAAGCAGTTTGCTAGCATTAGCCTAACTAGCCTAACGTTGAGCGTCCGTAAACCTGGAGCTGATAGTTGCAGCATTTAAATGTCCAGAAGAGAAAAAAAAATCGGGCTTAGTTGTTTTATCGTCTTGATTAAAATACAGACTGTGGTACGTAAATAATTTCCATGAGCTTATTTCTAGGTTGGCGGCTACTTATCAAGCTCGCTGTGTATTGCACTAATTTGGAAATAGTTCATATTGTCAACAATGCAGGCGCTTCCACTACAGGAAGTGATTCACTTCTGTGTCTCGTGTGTCTCAACCTCAGGATGGTTCCTTAGGCGCCATCTAGAGGCCTTCTCTAGAAAAATACAACTACAATTAAAAAACCCACTCACCGCATTTCAGGTGGGAAGTATGGAAGCCCATTCCCGCCAAATCCAGCACCCAATTATTATTTTTTCATTATTAAGTGAATTGCTATGCCATTATTTTTAGATACTAAGTCATTAGTTAAAATGCTAAGTCATTATTTTTAGATGCTTTGTGCTTCTGAGATGAAAATATAAACACACACACACACACACACACACACACACACACACACAAGAAGCATCTCAAAATAATGACTTAATATCTCAAAACAATGAGAAAGCATCTCAGAATAATAAGGTAGTATCTCAAAATGGTATAGCAATTCACTTAAAGGGGAACTCCACTATTTTTTCAAAATTTCTGCATAATTAAATGAATAAGATGTAAAAAGAGTCATTCAGAGTGGTTTGGTTTGGTCTCCTTTCTAGAGAAACTTGTACAGTCAGAATTGTTCACAGTGGTGGTAACAGAAACCAGATGTCCACCTCTAAAAGCTAGTTATTACATGAAACGGTTATGAATTCACTGCCTGAAGACTGACACGTTGCTTTACGATAGTTTTGAGATCATTTTTGAAGTCATTCAGATTAGTTTGATGTGAAATGGTTCATTGCAGAGAAACCTACTGGTTTATTTACAGTGGTGGTGGAAGATCTGAAAAATAAGTTTTCTTTGTGGACATTTTTTTGCATGTGTCCTTCTGACATGAATTGATACACATTAATGGATTAAATACATTTTAAGGCAAAACGTTATCACAAAACTATCATAAAACAGTGTCTCAGACATCAGGCAGCATATTCATAACCATTTTATGTAATAAGTGGTGATAGGAACCAGAGGGAGCTTTAGAGGTGGATGTCTGGTTCCTATCACCACCACTGTAAACAATTCTGACTCTGCAAGTTTCTCTAGAACGGAGTATTTCACACCAAACCACTCTGAATGACTGTTTACGTCTTAACTGTTTAATTATGTGAAATAATCCCCTTTAATATGAAAAAAATAAATGTGCTGGATTTTTTATTTTAACTGACAGGAATGAGTTTCCATAGGAAAGACATTGATAAAACCTATCAGTAACAATTTTCTGAATAAGTCATTTTTACACTGTATGTGTATCTGTGGAAGGTGAAAAACCTTCACAGAAACCCCAAATCCCTTTCAGCAGTGCACTGTTGTATTCTTTAGGGCTGTTCGATTCTAGAAACGTTGGAGTTGACCCAGATTGTAACTCTGTGATGGGAAGTGATGGAGTTGATTCCACACAATAATTTTCTTGATTAAGTATATAATACACTGTTATGATTTATGAATGAATGACAAAGGGATCTTGAACATGCCGTCATGTGTTACCACTTGTTAACACTACAAGATGGCATTTTTTAAATTTTATGACTAACTTTATTTTGCACTTTGTCCAAAGCAAAATACAAAGAATCTTGTGATGTGTTTGTTGTGGAAGTACACATTTTTCAGACAATGACAGCAGAATATCTCACTCTCTGTGTGTGTACAGGAGTAGACAAACATGCACATCTGTGACTCCAAAACTTCTGAGTCGAATCTCAATTCCCAAAGACCTGGAATAGGAGAATCAAGTCTTTCTTGGGATGGATTCACTCCCAGTATTCTCAACAAAGGTCAGAACCACAGGGGCTGCTTGTCTTTTGTGATTTCATAGTGGGTGACAAGGGGAATGGGTACTTTCAGTTTCATGTTCATACGATATAATAGCGTTTTGTCTACTGAACTTCATTACATGCAATACAGGATCTGCATGTGGGCCACAGTTCTAGTGTATATTAGTACTATAAGTTAGTATAAGTGTATATTTACACTCTGTATAGACTACTGAGATGATTTTAGTGCATGCAGACCCAAATGAAACAGGCAAGAATATAGAGCTTTTTTTATTGTGATATGCCCCAAATGTGACCAAACATTGACATTGTTGACAAATTTACTAACTGAACAGCCAGTATATAGAAAATCTAAAATAATGCTTATGTATTGTGAAAAACAAACAAAAACAAATGAACAGAACCACTACTATACTCTGTCATAATGTTGGAAATCGAACTGAATTCTTGTGAAGAAACAAATGATTTTACTTATTCCTCTATGAAAAGCAAATGCTCAAAATGACAAATTTAACACTCTTTTCCAATGTGCAGTACATCTTTTCTTCAAAGCAACTGGCCACTGTCTCTAATGCTCTCACTATCTGTTATACTAATTTACAACCTTCAAATTCTCTAGATACAACACATTCTATACAGCAGAGCACTAAATAAAACATTATCACGCTAAGCAACAGTTTTACTGACATGTTTCACTGCAGCTAGACATCAGAAGTGGACTTTTTAAAGACACATTATTTCTAGTTCTAGATGTAAAACAATTGAGAATCTCTATTAAAAACTGAGCAACCCCATCAGCAGTGTAATTCTTGTGTCTTGAACCTGGGCCTCCAAGTAACATAACTTACAAGTTACATGTATGTACTTACTTCCTTTCCAGGATTTTGCTGGTCGTATAGAAATTTCTATGTCTTTTTAGAATTATACAATAAATGTCTCTCAGTAACACATTCCATCAGTAAAAATAAATACAGTAAATATGGTCAAATATGGTTATATGTAGCCCCAATCAGGATGGTACAGAAACAAATTACTTCTAGACTGTTTAAGTTACCACATACATGACATTTTCTCATGTTTTGCATAGAATATTCGAAGAACATAAGGAATGATGTTTCAGATTTGTTTGTTATGGACAGATTTCAGCATGCATTGTTTATTTAGTGTTTGACATCGATCATAGAAGGCCTGTTTTATTGATATGTTGTCTTGTAATTAGCTCCATCCTGATTGGAACTTTCATTTTGCCTTTTTCTGTTCACATTCCTTGCAGTTATAGCTTGTCATTGCCATTCTCCAGCAGATTATTTGTCATTAGAATATAATACAAAAGTGTATTGCAGGTTGTTGCGGGTGTATTGCAGTGCAGGTTGTTAAGGATGTAAGGATGCCTCAGAGATTTACTTTGGATTCCCAAACAAACAAGGCATTACGCACTCATGTCTTGAGGACTAGACAGATCAGATTCTGCGTTGTTGTGCTGGTCAGACCTTGATGATGCTAACTGATGATGGTGTTCTCTGGAACTAGGACAAAATCAAAAAAGAAAAGTTCAGTTACAGATATCAATAAAAATAAAAGTTTGTATGCAATAGTATTTGTACAAAAATGGGTTATAACTTTTCAAACATCATCAAAACTAAATAATAGCATATAGGAGACTTCAGGAAGCAAATTAACTACTAATATATGACAAAAAATGTAGTCCAAGCACATGTTTAAATATTCCATGTGTATATGTTTATTTGCTATCCATTAATAAGGTAATTATGAATGAGTGCTACCTGCTTTATTAGATAAGGATTATTTCAGAGTAAAAGTCACTGGCGCTCTCTTTAATAATCCACACCTGTGAACATAATCCTAATAGAAACAGGGAGGTGACTGATGTAGGACTTTAAGCCACTGACACCCCTTCCCTTGCCCTGAACTGTTTGATCTCAATTGTTTATATAAATACTTTTTTTACTTTTTTCCCCTTTCATTGCTGTTATTGTTGTGATTACAGTTAGGTTCCCATTTTTTTTACAACCCCATTTCCAAAAAAGTTGGGACGCTGTGCAGAATGTAAATAAAAATAGAATGCAATGATATGCAAATCACGTAAAGCATTTTGCTTATTTGTTTATTATTTGGGCTCACAAGTCCTGCAACATTGCGATATTTATAGCACACATACACTTACAAGTGCATTCTTCTGGCTTTGATTTCTTAATGTAATTGAAACAAGACATTTTAGATGCTGTTTGACATTCCTTAACACCCATTTTATTAGCCCGCTGAAATGCTGCGGATGAAATCTGGTCAATAATTTGATAAGGCACTATTGGCCTATACGGCAGGGCCCTGCAAATAAGTAGCTGAGTCTGATATTACTGGTTGCTGTGAAGGCCAATTTCATGAAAGTGGTTTTGGGAGTGTGAAAACCTATGAGATTTACATTTACAGCCATGAGATTGCAGTAAAGGCAAGAAATGGGTAAATCATGAGACTTGAGAGCTATGTTATCGCAGACTCAGTGCTCTGATGTAGAGGTGCACCAGTCATTCATTTTTAAGGCTAATTTCTATCAACAACAGCAGAGTAAAATTAATCTAACATACAAATAAATCTATTTGCTAAACATACAAAAATAAACATACAATGTGTATCTGTTCTTTATTTGAAATAAATTAATGCACATAGGCTGGTGGGTAGGCGTAACACTTTAGACAAGATATAACAATTGAATTTAACTACAGCATGTGCATACTTCCATTATATTTCCATTATTTACGTTATAAAATCACAACACAAATCAGCCTATTGCAGATGTGCATTGGCTACCAATATTATCTGGTTCTAATTGAGCTCCTCTACACTAATGCCATGATAAATATACTTAAATCTCACCTTGCTCCCCAGCAGACCCCCATTACGGTAGTCTGGGGTGCTGTGTTCAGACAGAGGTTTTGTCTTCTCCTTGCTGTGGTTGTTGGAGTCATTGTCTTTGATGATATCGTACTGCCTACAGAACAGAGCAATCACAGCTGCAACAAGACAGATTTATTTGATTAGGAGAAAGCAGATCAGATCTCCTTGACCTTAAAAACACTCACTGGGCATCTGCACAAATGAGCTATGCTCACAACCAAGCAGATGCTCTTAATGTGTTCTCAAATTCAAACGCAATGAAACCCAATTTTATTACATCCTAGGAAAATAAGAAATCAACACTGTGATAATAATCACAGCTATGGTTAACAGTGTTGTGCTTTTTATCATAAATGAGGTTAATAATCTACAAACTGAAACCAATGTGAATAATCAATCACCTGCCCACATCAGTAGCACCGTCATGATGATCACCATCTCTTCAGTCAGAAGGCTTCTGGAGATGTCTAAACCTTCTACAGATGGGTCACCTGACCAGATAATAACACCAAATGCACACACAGACATTAGTGGACTGTAGTGATGAGGAAATGACAAATGTTCATACACAAAAATTATATAAGATGCATCAAGCATTTTCCAGTACAGGGCATCCATAATTCAGCAAGTGTGTCTTTACCATAATGACAGTAGGGGGAGAATAAGGCAAGATGAGCTACTCCAAGTAAACAATGACAAAACAAACGATGTGATAGCATTATCAAGCAGAGGCAATCATTTTATACAAGCAACAGTGGAAGTGAGCGCATGGATAATGTGGTGAGTGATTCATGTCCAAAAATGTAAAGTTTAGAATTCCACTGTCATTGTTATTTTAAAAAATAACAATAGGAGAATATTTTCAATAATAAAAATGCTAAATTACATTTTAGTTGGTGCTCTCATAAGCTATGATTTGCTAGCTGAAGAAAATGGTTGTGCAAAGGAAAACCTGTTTTGTAAAACAGTTTTGTCGGGGGGGATAAGTTAAGCCATCAAGTCCTGTAATCCTACAAGTGAATCAAATGTTTTGTTTTTCATATTACAAAGTAGATTTTAAGACACCTCAAACCACATCACATCACTTTATTAAGATGTTTAGTAATCACAGGTTTAGTGGTATTAGACATTGTATGTCACACCTATCTACGAAAAAAGATCAAAATATTCCACAAAGCTAAAATCAACCTCAATTTTATAGATAACAGTATGTGGTAGCTCCAATTCAAAACTAAGGAAGTGGACATGGGACGCCATGTTTGCTTCTTCTTAACTAGTTAACTACATCTGATTTAAGGGGGACATTGTGTAAAGCTTATTTTACCTCATTATTACTTTAACAGGAGGTGAAATCTTTTAATGGGATCAGCACAGACTCAGTAGCACACACTCAGAGTTCTTTGAGTCTTGATTTGACAGTATTGTACAACTAGACCTAAAAGGCTTATCATTGTCTTAAAAATGGTCTATTAATAGTGTTTGTTTTCGTTGGCCGCCATCCTGTGGCACATTTTACTCTAACTGACTCGACTTGCCCAACTCATCATCATGGATCAAATTACCCCTATTTTTATTGCGCATACACTAAAATATGTTACCTGAATAAAAGATCATCATTAAAGAGACACAGCACTTTTTAAGTGACATTAATATAAGGGTTGTACTAAACGAAAACAATTGAAAAATGGCTCAACTTACCCTGTTGTCCCTTATATAGTTATAATCTTAAAAAGTAAAATCTAAGAGTACCTTGAGCCACCATGCTAGACTGAAAGTGGTCAGATTTTTCGAGAGTTCGAAAGTGAACCCTCTTGCTGGCTTGACTCTCTCCATGCAGTCCGATGGACTGGACCTGAATAATGTAATCTGTGTTTTCATCAAGGTCCCACAGCACACAGGCATGACTGGTGGTATTAACTTCTCTTATGAACCGCTGCATCAGGCCATCCTGTCTCTGCAATAAACAAAACACCCAGAACCACAAACATAAGTCAAACACAGAGTATGAACACATAAAGCTTAAGCAAACTGTACACAGAGTTTATTGTGAAGCAGAGCACAATTAATGTTGCAGTAAAGTGTACAGGTTTCTCAAGTGACGCAATGAATTCCTTTAGGGCTACATCATTTTAGGAACTTTTCTGAACCTGTAGCGAGATGGCATAACCAATTACAGCTTCTCCCTCTGGAACGTTCCAGGACACAGTGGGTGAACGTGCTCTCAGGAGAGTGACAGAGACATTGACAGGAGCAGCAGGCCGATCTGTGGGAGTTCAACAAATTTATTAGGATTTCAATATCATGGTCCTCAAAAAGAAGGCACTCACAGCATTTTGATGCTATTGTTCAGAGTTCAAATACAAATAGGTAAAAAAAAAAGGATATGATTATAAAATTAACTTGAGTTAGAACAAAGTGCAGTGGAGCTATGAAGGTAGTGTAGCTAAAAAGTGATGAATTCAAGCCTGTGATATTAAAGTTGGAGTTGTTTAGCATGTTTGGTATCTTTTAGCCTGTTGGCTAGCTGACCAGCATAGTTCTAGTAAAAAAAAAAATTTCAGTTTTCAGCCCCTCAGTTTAAGCAAAAACGGGTTCTGAATTCAACAGTACACTCAGTGCACCATTAGAGTAAAAAATTAATCCATTAACAGCAGAAGGGTTTTCGTGCCGTGGCACAGTAATACAGTTGTTGAGAGGCGGTCATAGCCGTGGTATATCATGGATTTTGCAACGGCTTCAAACATGGTTCAGCCAATCAGATTTTAGGACCAAAACTATCCGTTTTATAAACACTGTTTTACTCTGACAGCTACAGTATGTAAATATTTCCATTTTCAGGTTATTAGTGAATTTAGCATTATAAAAGTACAATATCTGAAACAAAAGTTGTGCTTTATTGTGTCCTACAAGCTACTACATTAGCCCCAAGCTTACATGCAATATACAGCGATACAATTTGATACAATAATATATGCTATTTTTACCTGTTCTGACATACAAATGGACAAAAGTATGTTACAGCTAAAGATAGATGTAGCAGCCATCTTGATGCCTGATATTTGCCTGTATTTTGATCATTTTCATAGATAACATCATGTCATACAGTGTCAGCAATCACATAAGAAAGTCTACTTGAGATTAACAAACTTTGGAAACATGTCTTGTTTGAATATGTTGGGGCACAGTAACAGCTGAGATACATGTGTATGAGCCTAGTATACCTGTGAGCCTTGGTGCAGCAGTGGCAGTGGGACAGTCTTATCATTTCTCTAAACAAATGCAATATGTGTTTTCCTCACTGAAAGAGCACGGTGAAGGCTGTATAGTGTTTCTCAACTTCCAAGTCCTAATTAGACTGCCTGTCTCCTACATAAGGATAAGAAGCATAAGGGCCAAGTTTCATTATTTGAAAGAAAGGCCAAGATATCTTGACTTTATGAATATGTAACAGGTTCTGAATTTAGCTGTTAGTCTCTTCTGGTCATTATGTAAATCTATTCTGAGTTTCAGTCTCCTCTGTAATTGGCAGAGTCAGACACTAGTAGACAAAGGCAACGTCCTGATCAGTGAACTCTGCTCATTCATTCCTATAATGAGGCTTCAGCACATGCGTGACTTTTGCAAAAGACACAGGATACAGCAATATATGACTGTTCAGTCTGCATCACGGATAACAATGCACTGACTCATGATATCACAGGGAAAGCAAAGTTAAGTGTGTTTTGTTTCTGAGTCTTTTTTTTCTATTGATTTAAGCGTTTATCTATTGTTCTCATTACAAGTTCACAAGACTGTCAGAGAGTGAGCATTTGGTCGCAGCTGATTAAATAACAGCTCTGCAGTTGCATTTTAAATCACAGGCATAACTGCATCATACAGCAAAAAGATGCATTAGTAATTATTATACATTACTCTGCAAAACTTTAATTGCTGGAAGTCTACACCAAAGTCAATACTGGCATCAGAAAGGAAATTATGGTAATAGCAGAAAGACAAACCAATCTTAAATTGCTGCTTGGAGAGCATCCCCAGTGCGTGTTGGCCAGACTGCTCTCATTCATCAAAGAAATATGATGTAACTGGCAACCTAATGCATGCACTTTCTGTATAGATGAATCAAACAGGGCTGTCTGAGCCAGAAAGATCAGTCTCTAAATACAAGACTTAATTTAAAAGCAGATCTATTTTTTCATGATTCATCTCAACTGGAGCCTTTTTACTAAAAGTATTTGATCAGAAAAGCAAAAACAGCGAAAGCAGAAAGGTTTCAGATAATGTATCCTCGCCTCTATATTGGAAGGGTCATGCCAGTAACGTTATATTAATAAACACATGTCCACATCACGTACCATTTCCTCTGTTGTACTGCTAGTTACATGGCATTGACTCATGATGATCTACAGCAGGTCCCTTCTCAGTTTAACTATGCAGGCATTAAATCAAACTAAACGACCAGCAGAGTAAAGGCAATTTCCCTAATGCCTGCTTGTGCTGGGCTTCGTGACAGCTTTCAATTCAATCACTTCAAGAGCTCCCCTATTAAACACCAAGAATAGAAATACACTCATAACCAGATCCATAATACATAAATCATAAATCAAAAAACAGGTATTTTAGATAAGGGTGAAAAAAATTCAATACAGTTTTGAAAAATTAAAAAAATAAACGTTTAAAGCAATTAACTGAAATTTTAATCTATATATGTACATATATTTGCCCACAAAATATATGTGCAATATATGTCAATATATGTGATATCTTAGCACTAAAATGCCAAATGGAGAAAAATATTAATACATATGTTTCTCCACATTCAAAATATATAGCAGTATATTTCAATACATGTAATGCCTTAGCACCAAAAATCCAAACAAATAAAAATATATGTACATATATTTGCTCATATACACTGTGTCTATTTAAGTCAAGTCTATTTAAATGACAGTGAAATAGTAATCCATGTTATCAGAGACATCAAGGGAATATTTATGCTATTTTTTTCCTTCCAAGAGTCCAACTTGGTAACCTTTATTAAAGCCACCAAATAAAGATCAGGCTAAAAAATCGTCACTTATTTTAGCTATATTTTAAAAAAATTGTTTTTCAGTTGGCACTCCCTTATAAATATATGCTGTTTAATTTGTGTATGTCAATACATAAATAACATGTAGTGGCTGACAATCATGTTCCCCTGGGAGACAAGACATTTGGTCAGTTTATAGCATTTATATATATTCCAGTATACAGACATTATATATGTATATACATATATATATATATATATATATATATATATATATATATATATATATATGTTTAATCCGCATATATGTGCAAAGATTTTTATATATTTACTGTATACTGGAATGAATGAAGAAAAAAAACACACACACATATATATGTGTGTGTGTTTTTTTCTTCATTCATTCCAGTATACAGTAAATATATAAAAATCTTTGCACATATATGCGGATTAAACATATGTAATGGTTTAAATGGTTTTTTAATATGTACATTTATGTCAGAAATATATATATATATATATATATATATATATATATATATATATATAAAACTATATTTTATAGAAATATATTATAGAATTATACAGAAACATGTATAGAATTATTATAGAATTATGCAGAAACATATTTTTGAAAAAATATACGTGAAAATATTTCCTTTTCACGTGTGATGACAAACCCCTCTGTCCTGTCCGAGGGTCTCTCTTTCATTTGTCGTCTTTTGTGAAAGCCACCATCGATGATCAAGTTATAGTTCAATAAATTCAGACATGAAACTTTAAACTTATAGTTAATGCTTGGTGTCAGGTTCAGTGTCATTTTTCCACATATTTTAATTGTGCTTTCGTGGCATGTTGATATCAGTATTGAAATTTTTGGGGGGTTTGAAAATGGAGTCAGCTTAGGTTTTTTCTATTGTTTATAGCTGCACTGTTTTATAAGATCACTGTTTTGCACAAGGACAAGCTACTTTGCAATATTTTGCATTTGTATGAGCCGAACCAATCTGTGTAGTATATAATTAGAGCTCTGTAGAATCAGCACACATGAAATATCGAAAATGGACTCGAATCTTGCCCTCAGAATTAAAAATCGTATCGAGCCTTACAGACTGTGCATCGTTACAGCCCTGAAGTGGTGCTGATCACGGTGAAGCAGAGATAACTGTACTTACTTGCTCCAGCCAGGCAGAAGCAGCTGAAAAGAAACAGGACCAGGCAGACAGTAAGGAAAGCCCTCATATCTCCCACGAAGTTGTTAAAACGATACGGTAAAATTCTGGACCCACTTTCCCTTCAATTCCTCACTCCTTCCAGCTCCATCAGCGCTGGGCTCCTTCGCTGTGAGCAGCTAAACCGCCGTTTCCACTGTCAGATTGTTTTAGAGTCACATGCAGGAATTTAAACTCATATTCTCAGATTCTTGAAATAACCACAATTTTCCTCTCAGCATTGCCGTTCCGTTAAGTCTGTAAAAGAAAGAAAAACACAGTTTTACATTTCGATATCAAACCACACGTCTTTCGATTACAACGAGCTGAGAAAAAAACAAATGTCTCTGTGTGAAACACTGACGTGCTAAGCTGCTAAGGCGTTTCATTACACGGAGAGAGAGAGAGAGAGACAGAGAGCGCTTCGAATATGCTAGTAAATCTTCACCAATCTCACCAGTTAGTGAAAACGCGACGGAAGGTGTGTGGTAAAAATAAATGCCAGCGTACATCCAGGAGCGAACAAATGGCGTCCAGAGCTGGAGCTGCTCTTGTTTCCGTCCCCACTTTGTCTCTCCTGAGCTACGTTTTGAGAATACTAATAAATCAGTAAGCACATGACCTACAGGTGGTGGTGCGCAATGGAGGAGCCCTGCTTTCAGCCTGAACACCCATCACATACCACTCTAGCAGAAAGTAGCTCGCTAATACAGGCTGAATCCCAAATGGCTCCCCACTGGACATCCGTTCAGCTGCCAAAAGGGCTCTTTGGAGACACGCCAAAGGAGAACCACTTGCTTCTCTAAATAACATTTTAATGTAAATGAAATGTGTGAGTTTGAAGAACATTTTGAAGTTCCACATAATGAGAAGGTTCTACAGCAGCTAAAGATTTTTCCTAGATCCATGAAAGGTGAAAGGGACGTGGTGTATTTTTTTTAGGTAAAAATCTGGTGAGCACCCGATACTATCAGGCGAGCACCCAATACTATCAAGTGCGCACGAGATAGTATGTGGCGAGCACCTGATACTATCAAGTGAGCACCAGATACTATGCATACATACATATATACCACAGACCACTACACTGTGAACAAGCTGTGCTTGTGATCCTCCGTCATTCCGTCATGGAAGAAGACATTTATGACTTTTCAGAGTCCCCCCAGGTGGCACAAGAACAAATAAAGCGACTTTGAAGTAAGTTTAGATTAGTTTTGTTCAGACAGCTATAAAAACGTTGATAATTTACCAATTTGTCCCTTTGCTTACATTTAGGGACAAATTGGTAAATAAGGCTTGCGTTGTTCTCTGTGCAATACATGCTTTTGCATGAAAACTATACACACCCGCAACAAAAATAAGCCAGTGGGCAAAATGTCTTCAAGTTCAAGTGACAAAGATAACTTTTGCTCCTCGCAAAACGGATAAACGATTCCATTTTTTCATTTTGGAAAAGTGAAGGAGCACAGACCGTTTCACCACCTCATTCAGCAACTGGGACTTTGAGAGTTTTCACACAATTTATAGCTAACTATATCTAGCAAAGGCAGCTTACATTTAGCTCTATTTGAAAGGGACAAATTGGTAAATTATTAAGATTTTTATTTTATGTGTATATATATATATGTATATATATATATATATATATATATATATATATTTTTTTTTTTTTCTCACCTGATAGTATCTGGTGCGCACCACATTTTTATGTAAAAAACAAAAAACATACACCATGTCCTTTCAGGAGCTCTGTAGGGACCAGACATGCAGTTAAATAAATTTGACTAATCGTCTGGCCCACTAAACAAATGTTCAGAAAAAAATCATGATATTTCGTTGTATAGTTCTCTCTAACTTTATAATAGCTAATATTCCACTGTTTTTTTTAAATTCTGCATAATTCAGTTGTTGAGATGGAAAGTCATTCAGACATCAGAGTGGTTTGATGTGAAATTGTAGTGAAATGTAACAACTTAGATATTGGCTCCCGATGTCTACAACCTAAATATAGCCATTTTATTTACTATCCAAATGTACTATCCAAAATGATAATAAATCATTTTTGCATACTATTATGCCCCTCCACTCACACCCCTCCAAATTAATGAGATCAGGTGTTTCAGCCACACCCATTGCTATTGATAATGTAGTGTAAAATTAAGCACATACCCAGACAGTCTCCAGACCGCTCGATAGGCAGTAGAATGGGTCATACTGAAGAGGTCAGTGACTTTTAATCTTTGCCACAAGTGAATTTGGGAAATTTCTGCCCAGCTAGATCTGCCCCGGTCAACTGTAAGTGCCATTATTGTGAAATGGTAGTGTCTAGAAGCAACAACAGCTCAGATATGAAGTGGTAGACCACACAAACTCACTGAGCGAGGCCACAGAGTGCTGAAGCACGTAGCACACAAAAACCTCCAATCCTCTTATACATCACTCACTACAGAATTCCAAACTGCCTCTGGGAGCAACGTCAGCATATGAGCTGTGTGTTGGGAGCTTCATGAAATGGGTTTACATTCTCTGGAGTGATCAATCACGCTTCACTGTGTGGCAGTCTGATGGATGATGTACTGGAATGGTGCCAACAGGATAGTTTAGTGGAGGAGGGATAATGATCTGTTTTTTCAGGGTTTGCACTCAGCCCCTTAGGTCCAGTGGATGGTAATGTTAATTCTACAGCATACAAAGACATTTTAAACAATTATATGCTTACACCTCTGTGTGTTATTAATGCCTGTGGTTTTGGAAAGGGATGTCCAATAAGCTCATATAGGTATGATGATCAGGTGTCCAAATACTATTGGCCATATAGTGCATATAACCATATATAACAATAACTATAACTGAACACTATCATAAAACATAAAATGTCTCAGGCACCAGACATCATATTCATAACCTTTTCATAAAATAGCTTTCTGTTACTACCTCACTTTTAGAGGCATTAAACACAGATTTAATGTCTAATTCTAAGAGTCTGTAAATTTCTCTAGAATGGAGCATTTCACATCAAACCACCATCTTAAAACCATTACATCTTAAAAATTTAATGATGCAGAAATGTTGAAACAACAGTGGACTTTTTTTTAGTAGTTATTACATAAAAACAAAGAGGAATTCAATTTACTACACACTTTTAAAAATAAAGGTACTAAAAAGCGTTCTTTGGAGTGATGCCACAGAACCACTTTTGGTTCTCTAAAGAATCTTTCAGTGAATGAATAGGATCATTGCTGAATGAGATGTGCAGGTGAAGAACCTTTTTCAAAGTTTAAAGAACCTTTGCATAATGCAGAAGTTCTATACCAACCTTCAAAACCAGTTTTATGAGTGAATATTTGGATGTAGAGGACTTTATTTAATAATTTGCATAGTTCATTATATAGATATGGAGCATTTTTAGATTCTTTCAGACTTGCTGTCGTCATATTAAAGCCTTGTCATGAATCCAAAGTGCTAGAATTATTGTTACTTGAGCATTCACAGATGAAGTTCAGTGATGAACATCCAGATTACTCCCTTCTCTCTGCTATGTGCTGTACCTTATTCTGTAACATAGTCTGTAAAGACTTTTACAGTCAGTGTCAAAGTCCATTTAGGTGAACTTTGTTTTTGTTCCCTGCTTTGTGTGAATTAGGCTGTATGGTTATAAAGGAATCAAAGGATCCTGAGCACTTAGCACTGGCTTGCAAAAAGACATATCAATAAGAGTAAAGAGGACGTTTGACTACAGCCTTGAAGAAATGCAACATTGGGAGGTAAGAGTACAGCGTGTATAAAAGAGTATCGTTAGGAAGATAAGCATGTTTAAACAACCTGCATGTTAGTGTTGAGCCTTTTACTCAAGCTTTTATAATGCTGTTTGCCACTGTTGTTCCCTTCCTAACTGTTTTAGCAATTTTGGCCTGTCTTTCTACAATAGCATTCAAGTTATGAGCCGTCCTTACCCATCACAGAGAAATCCAATCCAATCACCAGAGATATTGATAGAGCAAACCCTGATGAAATTGTACAATTGCTGAAAAAATGTGATGCAGAGATCTTTGACAGAACAACACACCTAGACTCCATGTACCAGGTTTGTGATAAGTCTGTAAGGCAAATAGTGACAATAATACCATTACAAGCACCATTATCTGCTGATATAAAACATAACTTTTACAGAAGCTGAATAGCTGTTCCATGGCACAGACAATGGTGGAGATTTCCAGGAGAGTGGAAGTTATACTCAAGGTAAGATGTCACACTTAGCATGTTTGTAGGGTTAAAGTATTCTGCTAGTCTGACATCTTTTGTATTTGAACTATATGGAATAAATGTTTCTATTAGATAGTAGAACATTAGGAAACTTTGAACTGATGTGTTTCAACAGGATCCAGAAAACAGTCTGATTGTCCTGAGTGGCTGTGGGACGTCCGGCCGTGTTGCATTTCTCTTGGCGGTAAAAGCATTTTGTCTAAAATGTTGAAGTTCTGAAAGTTCTACATGTGTTATCATCTGATAACCAAATTATTTAGCCTGAAGGCCATTTCACTCCATATATTGTCACAGTACAAGAAAAACAAGTGTCTCCTGTAAACAGGCCTTTCCATACAATACAAAAAAATTACGTAGTTTTAACCCCTTAAATGGCCAGAGCCCACCGGCGGCCCAAAGTTTTATTACACACTTATATAACCTAAGAAAAGCTCAATCAGTTTGCATTGAAGTCCATGTAGTTACTGAATGATATGGCTTAATATTAAATAATTTTAGGGGTTACTGCATGTTAATTTGGAGAGATTGGAAGATTTCTATTGGTTCCTTCATCATAAAATTTTGTGACAATGTTGATGTGTTCAAATGATGTAGAAAATGAGAAGTGAAGTTACGTGTCTTTTTTTGGACAGTGACAATACAGTGTCTGCTGTTTTCTCATGTTGTGCTTTAGACCTCTTTAAACAGATGGCTTGCTGCTCTTCATCAAAAGCAAATCTATTCTTACATCATCGCTGGGGGTGACAAGTGAGTAAACGTAGGTTGTCTGCTTGATGCATTGGATGAGACGGGAACATGACTTTGCAGTATTTGAGCACTTTGTTTTTAAAGGGCCCTGCTAACATCACAGGAGGCTCCAGAGGACAACCCCTCGCTGGGAGCGCTCATGCTGGACAAGGTGAGAGCGAGGGCAGAGAGAGGAAAGAGACAGTGCATTGCATCCCATTGCAGTAAACCGCTCTCACACTGTGATACACCACAATATAAAACCATAGAAGCTGCATCTATAAGGCGAAATGGGCATACTGTTCTCTTTTTTTTCATTATAGCATTGTTATGGCATTATTGTGTGTGTGTGTGTGTGTGTGTGTGTGTATGAATCATTCTACTGAACTGGTACAAAGTTCAAAGCACACTTTGGACCTGGACTTCAGAATAAATGAATGACTCTGATTAAATTCCATTCTGTCACTACTCAAACAATTATAACACTACCTGCTACTTTTTGGTACTGAAAACTTCTGCTCATTTTGAGCAGAACTCAAAAATGCTAGCCAGTACATGACTGGCAAAAACAGCTTTGAACAGTTGTACAATTCATAATATTTTTAGTGAAATACAAACAAAGTTTACTTAATTGCAGAAAAAAATGTTTTTTGACAGTTCTTAAAATGACAAACTGATTTTTATACTTTTGGACACATTTACATAAAAACTGATCTAACTGCTGTGTGACTATGAAGGACAGGAATGCAGTCTCACTTCCTGCTCTAAAATGCAGGGGTGAGGCTAAAATGCAGCTCCGCCGATGGCCTACAACTTTTCCTGTTTCGGTAGTGGCATGAAAACGTGAGACAGCATTTTTTGAATAAAGTATTTTATTTAAAAATTAAATTCATGATAAACCTTGAACTGTCAAATTTACTGTAATAGACATACAGTATATTTTACAATATTTTTGTTTTATATATATATTTAAATGTTTCCCAAAACATCTTAGCACAAAGAAGATTCTTAAATGCTAGAGCGAGCATCACCCTGAACACTCTCTCTACCAGTTAAGATGATCTTTTGGGAAACTGGGCCATGATAAATAGCTTTACATATCATTTTCTCAAATGCCTGAGACTTTTGCACAGTACTGTATATGACACCATAACAGCATTGGCATATTTAACATCACCCAGAAAACTCTTTTTCGTCCAGTGTTTTTCTGTTCTCATGCTGTTTTTTCACAGGCTTCTACAGGCAAGAAGCACGTCCTCTTCATTGGAATATCCTGTGGTTTGTCTGTATGAAAGATTCCTTCAGCTGTGCATTAATATACTACAATGTAAACTTGTTCTTAGTATAAAGCTGTTGTATATTTTCTTCTTCTAAAGGCTCCTTTTGTTGCTGGCCAGCTTCACTTTTGTCTAAACAATTTGGATGTCTTCACTCCAGTGCTGATAGGATTTAATCCTGTACACATGGCTCGGTATTGAATTATTTACATTTATTTTATTACATTTATATTTTTTTTACAAAATTATTACAGTGTGACAAATTTATTTGATGGGTAGAGGTGAAATGTTTGTCATTACAGTAGATTACTGTACAGCTTTAATTGTCTGTCTCATGCTGACAGAACTGAGCCCATGCAGGACTTTCCGTTTAACTTCAAGGAGATTGCAGAGAAAATGAGTGAAATGCAGAAACACCAAAAAGCCTTTGTGCTCAATCCAGCAGTGGGGGTATGAGCTTTTCTAACACCCTCAGTCTTAAACAACCCATCTGTGGTTTTAGAGCAACAAAATGTGAGCAAACAGTTCAGTTACTATAAGCTGAATAAAGGTTAAACATGCAAACTATGTGATTAGTTTTGTAGCACTGGCTACTTTTTTCAGTATATTAATCAGACAGTTCTATTAGAAAACACTGTATTAGTGCACTTCTGTTTTCATTTGTACCATAAGATATAATATAGAGATTTAATATAAAAATCTATGTGTTATAATCTCTGCTTCATTTTCATGAAGCCTGAAGCTATTACTGGATCTTCAAGAATGAAAGGAGGAACTGCCACAAAAGCAATGCTGGAAACAGTCCTTTTGGCAGGACATGAAGCTGTTTACAGTAATGAAGCCGTAACTGCTGAGTACGTCTCCTCCAGTGTCCTCACTTTCTTTGAAATGTCACTATAAAGTAGCTTTTCAGTTTATTTACTAATCTGTTACTGTGTTTACCAGCAATGTTTTGGCCTCAGTCAGAATGAATGAGAAAATTTATGAAATCACGTACTCACAGACTGATAAACTGGCAGCCCTGCTTCAGAAAGCTGGAGTGAGGTGAGCTCTGGATTTCACCCATCATTCTAAATTATTTCTGACTTTATCATCTCTGAGTATTTGATGCATTGTACATTGGACTATACAGTGCATATCAGATAACTCTTTAATTGCTGACTCTTTAGGTAAGACTGTTGTTTTTCAGCCCAGATATTGGCTTAACAGTGGCTTGTTTTTGAGCTAAAACCACAAAACACTGCAGGATGCACATAGAGTTTTTGTACAACTGTATGGGTTGAATGAATGAATGTACAACATTCATTCAACCCATAGAAAATGAATGACAGAATGTCATTTAAATTAATTTTAAATCTAACTGCCACAAATGATGTCAGAAAGAACATCATCTCTTACACTTCCCCTCACTGACATTACATACAGACTCAAATATAGTATACTAGCACGCATACACTCATATCAGCAACCAACATGGGATGGGATACCATAGCAACACCTTAGCAACCAGCTAGATACCATAGCAACAGCTAGCAGCACCTTAGCAGCCACCTCGGATATCATAGCAACAGCCAAGCGACACCATAGCAACTACCTGGGATACAATAGCAACAGTCTAGCAACACCTTAGCAACAACCTCAGATTCCTTAGCAATAGCCAAGCAACCACTATAACAATGCCCTAGAAACACCTTAACAATCTCCTGGATACTATAGCAACAGCCTAGCAACACCTTAGCAACCACCTGGCATAACATAGCAACAGCTAGCAGCACCTTAGCAACTACTTAAAATGCCATCACAACAGTCTAGCAACACCTATGCAACAACTTCAGATTCCTTAGCAATGGCCTAGCAACCACTATAGCAATGGCCTAGCAACACCTTAACAACCCCCTGGGTACCATAGCAACACCATAGCAACTTCCTGGGATACAACAGCAACAGTCTAGCAACACCTTAGCAACTACCTAAAATTACATAGAAATGGCCTAGCAACACCATAGCAATCACCTCAGATTCCACAGCAACGGCCAAGCAACATCTTAGTACTACTTGGGATAACATAGCAACACCTTAGCAACCACCTGGGTTACCACAGTAATGGCCTAGCGACAACGTAGCCTGGGATTTCATAGCAATGGCTTTGTCAAGCTAACTTAAAGTTAATTCATGAACTTTCCGATTCTAGTTAAAATTGTGGTTTCCCATCAAAAACTACTGTGCATGACACAGTCTCACTGATAGCTTTAGCGCTGACTTCTCACTGCCTTAAACACAGTCCACTGTGGCAAGAGATTTCAAAGCTTTCAAAAACTCAGATAATAGGAGAAAAAACATTAAAAAAATAACAAACTCACAGTACATTCTTCATGTGTTTTATGCTTATTTGGAGCATGTATGAAGTAATACTACATTTTATTTTTTGAAAAAAAGTTGAACTTTCTGCTTCCAGTGCAATGTAGCCAAGAAAACAGATGTGCACAACTGTAAAATGAAGTCAAAAGAACCCAACACAAAACACAGTTTTGATATATTTTCTTTTACAGATGTGACTTTACTGATAATTTTCCTATATTGTTAGATTTACTGGTGTTTTTTAAACCTGATTGGTCTATTGCCCCAAGTGGTAAGTTTCTCAGAACTAAGGCTATCAATGAGGTTGCTGACAGTTATAAATAATGAGAAACAACAATTTTAATAAGGTCAGGATTCAGTTTATCAATAATTTTAGACTGAACTAAATAGTAAAGGATTCTAAAAGTTGATGGTATAATGAAGAACCTGCCTCTTTTTCAAATAAGACGTTGTTGTATTCTTTTGTAACTGTGGAAATACAGCCTGCGAGGGAAAGGACATGTGTATTATCTTGGATGGCAGACTCTTGGTATTATCGGGATTATTGATGCCAGTGAGTGCATCCCAACATATGGAGCAGGTACTGCTAATAATAAAAGATAATAAATAACAAATATGGAATGCTTATTGTAGACTTTCAGAAATATCCTCAAAAGAAGATAATGATTATTCAGACTGTTGTAGTATTCATTGTACAGGCTCAAACAAAGCTGCATTTCTTTTCTTATTTTCTCAGCCTTTGAAGACATCAGAGGCTTTATTAGCAAGGGCTTCAGTGAAATGAACAACAAAGAGGGAGATCTGTCATCCGTGGTGGGTTAAAGCCTTTGGATTCAGTTAGAATAGCATGAATGGTGGGAGTGCGTCGTATGAAACAGAGTGCCTGTACTGTTGGCTTTCTCTCCTGTTTTCCCATTCCTGATTTTCTTTCTCCTCCTGATCTGTGACCTGTAACATCTCCAGGGACCACATTTTGCTGTCGCCCATACGGATTTTGTGAACGCTATTTTGCCCAGCCTGAGTGACAATGACATGGTGATATTTCTCTTCAGTGTGGAAGGTAAGCTGTATTCAGAGTGCTCTAAGTAAACATGATTATCACTGCAGTTGCCAGGTTCTTTCTAACTATGCACATTGCTCTACATGTCTCTTTAGATGACCTGAACGAAGTTTCAGAGTTGGTCGAGCGCGTAGGCCAAAACACATCAAACCTCCATGCTCTCATCCATGACCTTGAAGGACACCATGTTCCTGTGAGTAAAATCACTTAGAGTGGCTTTCACCTGGGAATAGAAGATAATTGTACAGCTTGTGTTCAAGTGGTTTTTCAAGGTAACATATCTTTCTGGCTTTGTGCTGTGGCTTTTGAGCTCAAAGTACAACATATAATGTGCAAAATGCCTTTCAGAAAAGCGTGAGTGGCATGTTTATGACTGCCCTCAACATCACCTGGCCCTCATCTTTAAACAAGCACAGCTTGGTCCTAATGGTGAGCCATGACATTGATTTTCTTTCTTTTCTTTTAATGCAATTTATGACAAAGAAATGGTGAAAATGAATATGAAGCGAACTAACTGCTGTATAAGGACAGTGTACACTTGTTTCCTTTACCACTCAGAAACAGCACTGGGAGCTTTCCACCAAATTGTGTCTCAATGCAATCAGCACAGGTGCTCATATCCTGAAAGGAAAGGTGTACAGGAATTACATGATAGACCTCAGAGTAACTAACAGCAAACTCTTCAGAAGAGCCATTCGCATGTTACAGGTAAGGAAAGGTCTTATGCATTATACATTACATTACATACATTATGCATGTTCAGTTGAATGACTTAAAATACATGTAAGTATAAATGCCAAGACCACATAGAGCTAACATAAACCTGGCTATTCCTTGTCCTCATTAAGGACTACAGTTACACAGATGCTAATTGTTGGTGTTGAGCAATTAAGTAATGCCTCTTCATTCACCAATTCTCCAAAGCAATTACTGCCAAAATGCAAAGTGACCTCTGCATCAGATTTAAATTATGAATGAACTGCATCGTTTGTTTAATATCGTCACCTTTAGAGGTTCACGAACAGCACCCAAACACAGTGTGAGACAGCTCTGCTGAGATCTATCTATGACGTGGAGGAGCTGACTGATGAGATAAGCTCAGCAGACGTGACCCAGCACACACTGATGGCTAACCAAAAGGACAGGGTAAGAGCATGTTCAGAGACTAATGCTTTCATACGAGCAGCTCAAACAGAATTGTGTTTTCAAAAAGAATCAAAGGTTGTGACCAAAGTTGCATAATGTGACAGCTATTGTAATCTTATTGTAACCTGCATTACTGCCTGAATGCAAAATCATATATTCAAAGTCTTGTGTAAGTGCATTATTTATATTGCAATATATTCCCAAATATAGGTGGACATGTATTTTGACTCATATTAATAAAGAGTACAGTTCAAAATCCAACAATTAAAATAGATTTTAAAACAGAACTGCATAGGAAACATATCATCCATTCAACTTTTTGACTGTAATAACAAGTAAAAACTAATATAATTGTGGCTCCTTTAACTTGTAGAAAACTAAATGACTAAATAATAATAATAATATTAAAAACTATATATATAAAAACTGATAATAATAATAATAATAATAATAATAATGTTTACTTAAAACAATCTGTTGAATCATTACTCTTATTTTTACAAAATGTGTTTTTATGTTGTTCATATATTTTAATATTTATATTCATAATTCTTGTGCATTTATTTGAATGACCTAGATTTATACACATATTTGAGTGGCATATATGTATCGGGTCATTTCTAATATTTGCATATTTCCTAAAAATATGTTTTAGAAATATAAATAAAGCATATGATTTTTCCATATGGGCATCAACAGTCACATTCTTGTCACTAGCTGATCACTGCACCTAAATGATCAATATCTACAAGACACACAGACACATCACAGACTCTCTGGTTTTGTTTTGGATTTGTTGTAATGGCAGGTAGTTCCTACTGCGCTGGTGATGCTACAGTCTGGCTGCACGCTCGCTGAGGCTAAATCCCACTTAGATGCTCACCCTGTGATTCGAGATGCAGTGGCTGCCTGCCTGAGGTTCTCTTAATGAAGGAGTTCTGAAGACCACAGTCAGTGAATAGAGCAATATTAAACCAAGTAATAAACAACAACGATGATGTCATTTACAGTACATTACCAAATGTGAGAATTAACAGCTTTAAAAAGAAATACACTCCAGGCTTCTTATTCAATTATTAATCCTAAGACTCATTATTCAGTAACATTTTAATGCACAATTACTGTTTATTTGCTGGATTTAACTTATTAGAAAAAAAAACATAACATAAAATGTGGCCTGTTCAAGTCATGACACGTTTTATATATGTATTTTTTTTCAATGTTAAACTCAGCAATGCACTGAAACTGTAAAGTAAAATTAGCAAAAAAATGCCATATTTAAGTGTGTTCCCTGTAGAGGATGTGTTAACTTATTAATCAAGAAAACATGTAACTTGACTAGGGATATTCAGTTGTGAATGGGCCCACAAACAGGCCCATAGTAAACTAGAGCCTAAAGAGCTGGCCTTGCCTTGGACTAAACTGCAATGTCAGTGATATTTTATTATTCAGTTTTGCTATTTTACTGTCCTTCTTGGTCTAGACCTTAACCTGGGTTAACTAGCCCAAAGTCTTATTAAAACAAATGTCATAGAGTATGAACTTATCCTGTGTAATAAAAGAAAACTGCAAAATTACTAAAAGTACTCTTTTGAGTGTTGATTGCAAATGGAATTTTCTAGAGCTCCTTGTATAAAAGAAACTTGGAATGAATGAACCTAAAAAACACCCATAAAAAGACTGCTTCCTCTCCGATTACTGCCAAACGACACAAACCAGTTTTGCAGCCATTGCCATGTTGTATACAGGTATCCTAGGTAGTTTGGCCATCATTTTATGAACTCTGGCATGGTGACCTCAGGCACGTCCGCGGGAAATGGGCAACTGTGGCTGCTCTTGTAAATGTTGCTGCTTGCTGTGCTCAGAAGAAAAAGAAAAGGAGTCCATCAAGCGTCGCAGAGTCACATCACTCTATGATTACCGCTGCCGCACCTTGAAGGACCTAAAGCTCAACAAAGGGGATGTACTGGAAGTGATCGAGGAAACCCAACACTGGCTGTACGTAAAGAAACGCACAGTGAAGGGTGACAAGCAGAAAGGAGTTGTTGAGGAGCAGGGCTACGTACCCAAAGACTTTGTCAAACCTGTGGATAGTTTGGAGGCAAAGCCGTAAGTATTTACATAGACTGATTAGAAATACTTGCTGCCAGTATGTAGTATGTGGAGATCTGCAAGGTTCATTTTTCAGTGAGTTAGTCTTAAGATTGAGTTAGTCTTAAGATTTATTGTTCAGTTACTACTATAAATTATGAGAGAAACAATACGTAAGCTGTGAATGAGGAATATAAGTGTGAACCCCGATACAGGTCGTTAGATTGAGAGTAGGTTAAAGCAAAGTGCAACAAGCATGCTTTGTTTTTGTTGAGTCATGTTATACACTGATGGTATGTATACAGCTCATAAGAATAAAGCTTGAAAAGCTGTAAACCTTTGCACTCTGCAAAGGGGAGCAGGAAATATGTGCCTACCTGTCTGGTTCAACAAGTTACTCGGGTTGCTGTCAAGAATTTGCTCAAAATAGACTAAGAGAGGAAATAAGAAATAAGGTTTCAGCATTCATGAAGTCATCTAAGGTCCCTGCTCAAAGGTGAGTGACTGCCAACTCCTGCTCATATGTGCACATCTAGTCTAATTTAATAGGAACAAAAATCATTCTACTTATAGATGGTATTTCGAAAACATCAAAAACCGCATTGAAGCGAAGAGATGTCTACTGAGACCAGATAACAGTGAGGGAGCATTCCTTGTGTGGAGAAGTACACAGAATAACTACTTCTACTTATCAGGTAAATGTTTTCTCAGTATTAAAAAACTGCATCTTCCTGAAGGACCACTCTTTTAATATGATGTTACAAATCATACATATCTTTTGTCTTTTTTCAGTAAAGAATGGACTATATGTGAGGCACTACAAAATTAGGGAGGGAGAAACTGGCAAACAGTTTTACCTTGTAAGCCAGAAAACATTCCAGACTCTGTGTGAGTTAGTGGACTACTATTCCAAGCATGAGGATGGACTCTGTACACAACTTAACAGCCCTTGTGTTATGGTAAGTATCCCAATAACTTTAACACAAGTGCCAGTTTTCACCTTGATTATGCTGTGCTCCCTGCATAATACTTTATTTTGAATATCCTCCTAGCTGGACCGGCCATCCCTTCCCAGCCTGTCATATGAGGCAGAGTGGGAAGTGGACAGAAGCTCACTGACCAAAGTGGAGAAGCTTGGAAGTGGGGAATTTGCAGAAGTGTGGCATGGAGTGTGGAATAATAAGATAGATGTAGCCATTAAAGAGTTTCGAGGTAAAAAGATGAATGTAGATATGTTACAGATCAAATAAGAAAAGGATATGTTTGTCACACCTTTGTGCTCCTGTCAAAGTAAATCAGAAGTAATTTATTTCCATAATATCCAAATCATGTCGGTCACTTTGGACTTTTCTTACAGTCATTAGCCCAGAGATCCACACAGAGATAAAGATCATGAAGGAGTTTCAGCATGAGCGCCTACTGAAGCTCTATGGAGTCTGCACTGTCAGTGAACCCTTCTGTATTATCACAGAGCTCATGAAAAATGGCAGTTTGAAAAAATACCTCATTAGTAAGTGCAAAAATGCTACTTCAGCTGACAGTTAAGACTAAACGTACCCATAAAGGACTGTGTAAAAGTCAGAGACCACCCTTTATTTATTCAATTTCCAGTCAAAATCTTAATGCACATTAAGTACAGTTGCATTCATTTTCAAGAGATATTACAGAGAACATTAGATATAAAATAATCTTATATGGAAGAGGAAACCAAAGGAAAGTAAATGTTTCCTGAATTGAAGTTTAAATAATTTTTAAAAGATGTAGTCAAAATGGAACTTCTAATAACCATCCAAAGACCTGGTAGACCACCAAAATCTGATAAACAGTACTTTTGTCTGAGAGATGGGAGGAAATCAAGCTCCACTCTTACTTAAGATCTGAAAAAAAATCTACAAACTCAATGCTATGGATCTGGAAGGATGTGTAGCTGTCAAGGACAAATAGACAAAAAAACAAGGCAAAAAAGAAACACTCTGGCAATTGAAGAAGCTACTGGTGAACATTGAACAATGGATTGGTCACTCTGGAGACCAGACCTCAACATCACTGAATGTGTTTGGGATTACTTGGATTGAGAGAAGCAGAAAATGCAAACAACTTCGAAAACTGAACTTTGGAGGTGTGGAAAAATATCCCTGCAGATTTCTCTGAAAAACTGAAACCAAGTCTCTTAAAAAGAATGAAAGTTGTAATAAAAGCAAAGAGTCTGTGTCATTGTATGTGAAATATGTGTTTTCTACTTTTTTATCTGATGCTGAAAATGAATAATTTACTTAATGGCCATTTTGACTGGAAATAAATGAAGGGTGATCTCTGACTTTTGCACAGCACAGTATGAATGATTAAAACCTTAATTTCCATTGTCTTTCAGACCACAGAGAGAAGAAAGACCTTCCATTTTCGCTCATGATTGACTTTGGAGTGCAGGTATCCTGACTGACTTGGACAGACGTTAATTTGCACAATAATTCCGTCAAACATTTTTAAGATTTTAGTCTTCCTTATCTCTGTTTTTCTTCATGATGTCAGGTTACGGAAGGGATGGCTTATTTAGAGAGCAAGAACATTGTCCACAGAGACCTGAGAGCTGATAACATCTTACTCACTGACATGCAGTTCTGCAAGATAGCAGATTTTGGACTAGCTCAGTTTAATTTACCAGGAGACCGGGAAAGTTCCTCAGGTAAACAGCATGAGTGTTACTATATCATTGTGACCATTACTATATCATGATGCAATTCTTACACCATAGATATCAGAAAGCGGTAACAGTGATGTAAATGCTATTTGAACAGCAGTAAAAGTTCCTGTAAAATGGATGGCACCAGAAATATTTCTTGGAAAGGAATACACAAGCAAGTGTGACATCTGGTCTTTTGGGATCCTCTTGACTGAAATCATCACATATGGAAGTGAGCCGTATCCAGGTAAATAAATTGGGAAGAGGGACAAAATTGAACTACATTGTAAAACTTAACATTAATGACTGTTGAGTTTGTAAGCTCTCTGCACTTTTTTTGAATTCAGATCAAGACAAAATGACTTGCATTAAGGCAGTTCCGAGAGGATACAGGATGGACCGGCCACCAGATTGCCCCCCAGCATTGTATGACATTATGTTGCTCTGCTGGAGGACCATCCCTGAGGAAAGACCTGGGTTTGTTGAGCTTCAGGATAGGTTATTGGCTCTTGTTTCTGAACCCATCTCTGAGCTGGAGTAGGCCTTTGCTAAGATATTTCAGATTCTCTCTCTGAAGCCAACTGAAGCCAGCTGACCACTGCTCAGAATCCCTAACCTGAAGAACATCGACCTCAATAACAGACACATGATATGTATTGTAAAGACAGATGAAGACAAATCTTGCTGTTACAAAAGTTATGATACAATTATGTTAGTATCAACTGAAGTGAAGCTAATGCAGTTTTAGAGGAATAACATCCTGCTCAAGTACTGTCAAAATTGCAACAAGTGCTTTGTCTGGGATTTGCCTTTAAATCAAGATTCTGGCTAAGCTCCCCTTTAAAATGTTCAGTAATATCATAAAGGGTGACTAATACAAATGCAATGATGATTGTTGTAATACCTGGTTACATACCTAAGTTGTTAAGTATGTTCCTCAGAGTTCTCTTGCAAATTCCCAAAGAGCCACAGTTATTGCTCAACCTCAGTAACATGATTAGCTAATGATCAAGCTGAATCAGTTGTGTTGGAGCAGGAAAACACAGAACTGTACAGTGCAGGTGAGGCAGCAGGACTGAAGTTGGGAAATACAGCTTTAGACAGTTAAATAATACCTGTCCCAGATTAGGACCAGTGCGAGTCAGCTTTAATCCTTTCTCCCAGCTAAAGAGACTCCCACTGCAAAGGCAATGGGATTAGCATGACGCAAGTACTATTTAAGTGGCTGGACTCAAAGGAACTATGCCATGTGTTCTGATGCACATAAACCAAAATATGCATTAGAATTGCAAATAAGCAATACTAGTTCATAGCTGAGAAATCTGTACATGATAACTACAAAACGCTAAACTGATCTGCATCTAAAGCTGGTTTGTGTAGGCAGCAAATACGTATAGTATCTGCTTTGGTCCAATCAAAGTAAATTTCCAATGTTACTTGACTTTGATATTTTATTAAATATACAAGAGAATAATAACATTTCTACAAACACTGGCCAAGTGCTTGACGTTCCATGCATTAGAGCGGTAGAGGGTATGAAATGCCGTACCCAACCAACCAGTTAGCAGCTTCGAAAAAATCTCACAGCTACAACAATCAATAAATAACACAGCATGGCATGTCTGGGTGAAGTATCAAGGTGAAAATGTTGTCTATTGCTGCTGTACTCAAAGTAAGTGGCTTTCAACTCCCTTCAGCAGTTTTCACTTCAACAGACTGTACGTTGTGCACCTTCAACATCATTCTAACAGCAAAAAAAGTCTAGGATGGTAGCACATTAGCATTCATGTACATAATTACATAATCCAGAGGTTCAAGTCAAGAATATTTTAAATATTTTCAACATCCTGAGATAACATTTTTGTCTGTGAAATGAAACACTGTAAAGGGCCTATGGAATGTAGTATACACAGTAAATCCTATGTCCTCGGTTCTTTGATATGTGTATGATATGTATAGTATTAATCAGATTTATGTCCAATTGTATCTGGATTAAAATGTGAATCATTGTTAAAACATTTCCTTTAAACTGATTTCAATAAAAGTGAATAATTTGTAATAACACTTAACTATCTACTGTATACACATAATATTATACATATAATATTACAATATACAGTTTTAAATACAAGGATTTTTTTACGATTTACGATATGTTCTGAGATAATCGTCTCAGTAGGCGACATCTCAATTACTGAAGAAATATCATCCAGTAATTAAAAATAAAGTGCTTAAAGTGAAGAATTAATGTCAAATTAGAGATCAAAACTCTAGATCGTCCACTTTAACATCACTGTCTTTTGGCCTCCTTTGTTTATTGGCCCTTGCTGGAGATCTGTTCCTCCTCTTAGGTGAAACTTGCCATTCGATCACCTCGTTCCCTACTTCCTCTTTGTTGCCAGTCCTACTAGACACATTTCTTCTCTCTGTGAAAGGAGACTGTTTGGTAATCACAACTATGCTGTCTTCTTGGCTCTCCGAGCTTTCCATAAAACTACAAATATCCTTTAGTTTCGCTCGTACTTTCTGATCTGTGGCATTTTCCATTGATCCTGGCTGGGATTCTACTGATGTTTTTGTTATTTGTTTAATTAGTCTGTGGCCAGAATCCTCACCACAGGCTTGGCCTGATGCGTCTGCCTCAGTGCCATCAGAATTGAACTGCTCAGTAAGACCCTCAGTAGAACTCTCATTTTTGTTTTCAGCCCCCTTTTCGCTGTCTTCGTTCTCTGCTTCATCAGTACTTTTGGCTTCTGTGTCATTCTGATGCTTTTCATCAGACCCGCAGTCTTCCCCTTCTGCCTGCACATCCACCTCCTCAGAGGCTGTCAGTGAAGGTACCTGCTGCTCTTCTTGTTCGGTCTTAGCCTGGTCAGGGTTTGTCTCAGCCTGATCCTCATCTGCCTCGTCCTTAGCCTCAGCTTCTGCCTGAGAAGATGCACCATAGTTCCCTTCCCCATCATCCTCATCAGGTCCCCCACCCTCATCCATATTTGTGGTATCACCTTCATCTTTTGCGTCACCTTCAGTGGTTTCAGCCGTTTTATTCTCAGCTTCTTCTACATTCTCAAGTTCTCCTGATTCATGGGGTGATTCTGTTTCCTCTCCCGTTTCATCCTCTGTCACTTCACCCTCCTCTGCTGTTTCTATTTTCTCTTCAATATCCTCTACTTCTTCTTCTTCGGCTGTCTTTGCTTCTTCTCCTGTTTCTCCTTCTATAGCTGTTTTCCCTTCATCCCCATGCTCACTATTTCCCATTTCTTCCATTTCTGCAGCTTCCTTCTCAGGTTGGTCCTCTTCCTTTGCTGCCTCTCTATTGTCTGCATCTTCTGCATCTCCATCAACAGATACAGAAGCCTCTTTGTTCTCTTCTTCCTCCCCCTTGTCATCTGTTTCCTTTTCTTCCTGGACATTCTGCTCTTCAACTCTTTCTATTTCAGTTTCTCCCTCCTCTGCTCTGTCTTCCCCCTTCTCAATCTTACCATCTTCTGCTGAATTTTCCTCTTCTGCTTTATTTCCATCATCATATAATCCCTCCTCCACTCCCAGTCCTCCATCATTAACTAACCCCGCGTCTACATCCTGATTCTTAGAGGCCAGAGTTGCATCCTCTTCTGAGTTTTCATCTTTTGAGTTTTGAGTTGCATCAGCAGTACCTTCTACCTCCACTATATCCTCATCTGTCTGACCCTTTACATCATGATGTACTTCTGACTCCTCATGAACCACATCCAAATTGTTTTGAACATTGCTGCAGTTGGTAGCTTCTTTGAGATTTTTTTGTCCTTCTTGCGGTGACTCAGTTGCCATAGTAGCAGGAGGATCCTTCTTTCTTTGCAAGATTTTCTTAAGATCAAAGTCCTTCAGGACTGGAGCCAAGCTCAGAGCTTCAGCACGCTGAACAGCTCTAGATGCCATCTTCTTTTTCAAGCATGTATCACATGGACAGTACTCATCCTCACTGCGCTGGTCACTGAACTCAGTACCTGAGGCAGTGTTCATGTCTTCACTTTGTGATAAGGAGGGATTGATCGATTTGTCCCGCATAACTTTCAGCCGTCTTCGCCGCTGTTCAGTTTGAACTGTGGAATCCCTAGACAGAGCACTTATAGGTGGTCTCGGTGGTCTACCAGCTCGACTTTGGATTTTCTGGAGTTCACGATTTATACTGGATTGTATCCTTTTTTGAACCTCTTCTTTCAGTTCACTGATCATTTTATCAAGCATCTCACTGTCATCTAAATCCCACTTCACTTTGAACTCTGCCACTGCATTTGCATAGTGAGACATAAACTGCTTTTCTAGTTTTTTCAGCAAACTTAGCACCCAAACGGGGTCTGGGTCTTGTGAAACTCTCCTAGTTAATATACCTCTCTGAGCAGATGTGGACATTCCTGAGTTAGCATTCTCTGGTGAATCTGTTTCTTTATCAGCAGGTGCTTTCAAACCATTACTGTCATTCTCAGAGCTCTTGTTAGAAAATTCTGCTTCAGTAGTTTCCTTTTGATTTTCATTGCTTTGAGTGACCTCCTCTCTGGCATGAGAGTCTTCATCTATTGGCAGTTCCTCCTCTGGTTTTTCATCTTCTGGACTGCATCGCACTCTCTCAGCAATGTCAGGAGTTAGAGGATCTGAAGAAACATGTGATGTATCTGTACTTTCTGGTGTAGCAGATGAAGGGTCACATTCGCCTTCCTTAACAGTGTCTACTTGAACCTGTAAAGCCTCCTGTTCAATAACAGGTGCTGTTCTACCTGCTGTTTCTGGCTTTTCAACTCCTCCATTGATGCTGCCTATCGAGCCACTACTGACATCTACACCTGATGAAGACCTTGGGTTAAATTCATCTTCAGCAGAGCACTGATCTTTTATGTTATGCTTGTCCTGCTCACTTTCAGAGGGCTCACTGATCCATAGTGACTGAAGGATACTTATTATTTCGTTATATTTGTCCTCTTTGCCGTTTTTTGGATCTGAGTCAATCAGCTGCAGATTAGCAAGGCAGTCTAGTAGTCCTTTGGCTGATGTGCTTAATCTTCTGCCATATACAGGTGAAACTTCAGGCAAACTATTGCATCTGTCCAGTTTTGGCCTTAACAGAACCTTCATGACCTGCACTGAGGAGTGACAGCGTTTTGGTAAACACTCTTTCTTGGTAAATTTTGGTGGAGGACAAGGATCAGTGTTAGCTGCATTAGTTTCAGATGTCTCACTGCAAGCCCGTGTTTCATTACAGATGACACTGTTGTCCCCCTTAATAGGACCCCCGCCTTCAGCCCACTCAATTTCCTGAGAATCATTCATTTCCATTACATTTTCAGATATTTCTCCTATTTCCTTTTGTGAGCTTTCCTCGTCTTCTTCATTTACAGTAACTATCTGAGGGACTGCTTCATTGTGTTCCTCATTAAATTCATCTTCCATTTCATACATAGGGCCATCAATTGGTATATTTTTAAGCCAGTCATTTATAACCTCTGCAGGAGATGCATTAGGTAAACTAGATGGCATCAGTTCTATACCCTGATCCTTACTTTTGTTGTGTGATGAAGTGCTTAGTTTCCTTTGTTTAGATGTGCTCCTCTTTTCACATTTACTGCCAGTATTCATCAGCTCTTCAAGGTCACAGTTTTTCCCTGACGTATTTGATCCTCTGCTAACTGGTCTTGCATTGCCAACCTTCTCCCTTAATAGATCTGCTGCTGAGAGAGTGTGAGACAAAACACTGTCACTTGAGGAATCAAGATGTATTACTGGCATCACATTTTTGTTTGGCATTTCATCTGAAGGATCTCTACAGTTTTGAGGTATATCAGACATGACTGAAGTGCTCAATGTCTGCTTCTCTTTGTCATCAAGGCTGTTATCTGACTTGGAGTTTTTAAGAGACTTAACACTACTGGCTTCACTGTTACAATCAGATATTATCTTGCTTCCTTTTATTTTAAGGTTTGAGGAGGAAGTTTTCTTAATTTTTTCAGGTCCCTGATCCTTAGACTTAGTAGTTTCATAGGGCACAGCTTTGCCAGAGGCTGTTTTGTTTTTACTACATTTTGAAGAACGTCCAGATGTTGCCGAAGCTTTGTCTATTTGACTCTCATCAATATTATTGTTTTCAGAAACTGCTTGAGGTTGTGAGGCCTTACAGTGTGTATTTCTGCATGATGACAATGCAGAGGGCACTCTACGATTGCCATCATCTAACTGGCTCCCTGCCTTGCTTTCTGCCTTTGATTTAGTTGATTTAACACTTTCGGGTTTTCCTACAGAAGCAGGTGAGATAGCTCGTTCAGGACTCTTGTGTAGCTCTTGTGAAATGGAAGACCTTTGTGAATTCTTTGAAACTGCAGAACTCATAGTTACAGCTGTTTTGACCCTCTCCTTGGTTTCACTGCTGTCAGCAGCATTACCTGACACAGCTAGTTCAGGTGTAGACCTTTCTAATGGACCTTCACCCTCCTGTAGGGTTTGTGACATGCTGCTCATGGATCTTTCATTGAGGTCATCAGATTTCTCTTCCTCACAAAGTCCGAGAGAGACAGAGGCTGTTGATGTTGGACTCAGTGGTTCATCTGACTGGCCATATGGAGAGGGAGTGGGAGATTTTGCCGATTTAGATTTTCCAGAGAGAATGCTTCCTACTCTCTGTACACATTCATCATTAACTGGAGGTTTCTTAGAGTTTGCCTCTCTTCCATTACTGTTTGAGGAGCAGTGACACGTTTTGGAACTTGTTGATTTTGAAGATGCTCTAGAATTCACAGATATTCCACTCGGTGCCCTTTCATTGCTCCCAGTAGGAACAGGTGATTTTGGCATGCCTAATACTGGAACTCTTTTGTTCTTCTTGGGTGATGGAGAACTCACTGTTAAGGTATTTTGTGCACAACCCTTTATGTCCTCTTTTGCTTGTCCTGTGGGCTTCAATGCTGATTTTGAAATTCTCTCAGAGCATGCATCTGACTTCACTGAAACTTTGGAGCTCTTAGAGATCGCACTTGATGGCCTCTCTGAATCTATACCTTCGTTAGCGTTCTCCGTAACCGGGCTCGTAGCTCTAGGTTGTGAGGTAGTTTCAGTGTCTTGAATGTTGTTGTCTGATTTGTGAGACCTACGAGATCCTGTGGAAGAGTGTGTTTTAGCTGATGTTGTACTAGGTACTCTCTCTACAGACTCCATGTCAGAAGCTTGAACAGCAGCATTCTCTGCTTCATTTAATTTGGTGCATTTTTCATTTTCCTGAACCAACCCCAAATTTCTTGAGGATGCGTTTGACTTCTTAGATGTTTTGGAGGTATTTGACATTGCACTAGCTGCTCTCTCCTGCGTGGATATCCCTGGATCTTCGTCAAGCTTTGTTTCTGGTGTAGTAGGTACTGGAGAAGCACCTTTCTCCACCGTCTCATCTTGGGACTTGGCAGACATCCCTGATGTTCCCAAAACACTGGATGGACGCTTGGAGGAGGAATTTGATGTCATTGACATGGCATTATCCACTCTCGGTTCCTGAATTATCTCTGGTTCTTGTCCATGACTAGCTGATTCAGTTGATATAGGACTGTCTCCTCTTTCTGACTCTTTGACCTGGGGTGTTTTTCTTAAATAATTGTTATTACATTCAGGTATTATCATTGTCTTTGAACAATGTGATCTGTTTGAAGACCTGGACTTAGATGATCTGTTAGATTTGTGTGACAGTGGACTGACTGCTCTATCATCTTGGCTAATTTCTTCAGCTTTTTGATCATCCTGTCCTAAAGTTGTTGATACTTCTGGTATGACACTGTTTGTGTTTGACTTTGCAGATGCATTTGATTTCACTGACATGGCACTTTTGGTTCTTTCTTCTACATCCTCCACTTTAGCAGGTTCAGAAACCATGGATTCCACAACAGAGGACCTCCCACATGCTGTCCGGTTTGATTTATTAGATTTTTTTGAAGTAGCAGAAGGATGGGATAAACCAGACAATACACTTTCAGAGCGACCTTGTATGTCCTCTGCCTCTACTAGATTATAGGGGACAGGTTCACCATTCTCAGTGACATTGGAAACGGGAGAAGCTCCTTGTGTACATTTGTTTGATCTTTCAGATCTGTGAGACTTAGATGATCGGCCTCGAAAGGACTTAACCTCAGCATCTTTGTCAGCATCCTGAGCTTTTATATCCTGAGTATTTTCCGATAGTCTTGATACAGGTGTGATTGATTTTTCACATCCACTGCAATAAGGGCATACAGTGGAATTCCTAGATTTTCCTGAGACACTAGCATTTGCTGACATGGCACTTCTAGATCCATCCTCACTCTCTGTTCCCTCCCCACATACCTGAGCACCTTGTATATCTAATACTGCTGCACTTGGGGAATTTGTTCTTGCTTTAGATTTATTAGACACAGTGCTACTCTTAGATGTAATCGGAATTCTTTCATCTAAACCACTCTGCATGTCGGATGCAATTGAGCCTGGTGTTGCTACTCCACATTGGCAGGGAGGCCTTGGGGAAACTGAAGAAGTGGCACTGTCAGGGGTTCGATACATACTCCTGTATTTCTTGTGCTTTGATGAATGAGCAGAGCAGCCGGAGACCTTGCTGGGTGGTCTGGGGGATAAATGGAAATTTGGTGAAGCTTCACCACCATAGCAGTGTACACATGTGAAGTGGTGTTCATGGTCAATATTGTCACTCTGAGACCATTCAGATGCTCTTGATGCACTTGGAGGAAGGTCATCATAATCATCATCCTGATCCTCTTTGAGAGACTCAAGCACTTTGGATGAATTGCTGACGGCAGAAATTGGACGATCCTCTGTTGCTTTTGGGACTTCAAAAGCACCCAGATCACTAAATGTGTTTTCAAATGCAGCATTTATCTTTTTGTCACCATTATGGTGACATACATTTACAATACTGGTCTCATGCGTGTCCTCATTGGGTCTCCTACTCTTTAATTTTGAGGCTGTACCTGATATCTCACTGCGGCTGCAACAGCGACTTATTGAACAATATTCAACCCTAGTGTCTCCTTCCTCAACAGTCTGTTGAAAACATGACGCCTTCTCTACTACATGCTCAGTGTACTCCTCGCTAGACCTGGAGATTGTGCGTACACTATCCACAGATGCCTTTTTGTGCATGATTGTGTGAGACGATGCACTAGAACTTGATGACTTCCTGCCTCCGTTGTCTCGACTGTCCTTGTGCATTGGGTTTTTCCAAATGTCATACTCTTGGCAGTGGTTGCAGCAATTCTGACAGTGTGATTCTTCAACAAGCTTTTGATGGAGCTTTGGAGCACAGGTCTCCTCAGCCTCACATGCAGAGTTGGACTCTGGGTCAGAGTTTTCAGATTTGCCTTGAAGATAATGAGCCTCTCCCTCCTTTACAGAACTACTTTCGTTTGAGGTTGTTGCCGACTTCTTGATTTCAGTGGACCACTGAAGAGTTTCATCATTAACTAGTCGGAAACGAACTTTCATCTCCACGGATAGGCTGCCATCTTTGTTAACGAGGACCCTTTTTTCAATATCATCATTCAGTATGACGTCCTTTGTGTAGGGGCAGGTGCTAATGCAACCAGACTGTCCTGGTGTCATGCATAATCCATTTGTGTATGATTTTTCTGAGGACAGGGAGAACCTTGTAGATCTGTTACTTGAATCTGATCTTGGATGGATGATGCTTTTCTTGGTCTCCAAACCAAAGTTCACTGTAAATACAAAATGATAAATAATAATGAGAAGAATGTTTATGATTTAAACATGCACAACATAGTCTTGGCCCAGGCATCTTTTAAACAGTTCCTTCTGAAAAGTGCCAGAAAAGGGTTGTAATAGAAGAAACGTTTTTGTTTCCCTAAAGAATGTTAAGAGCCATTTTGGTAAATTAAATGTGAGAGAACCTTCTTTAAAATTAAAATAAACTTTACAAAACATTTGGTTCTACACCAATTAAAGACTTTTTTGGAACTTTTAGGGCCTGTTTACACCTTCCATCAATATGCATTTTCGGTGATTGGATCACATTCAGATTTCACTTGACAGCATGAAAAGCCAACTGTAAACACCCCTTGGATCAAATCACTCAAACCATATTTGGAGGTGGTCAGAGACGGATTTTGACTACATACGAGTGTGGAATGTGTTTTCTTTATTGGTATACAATTGCATAAATAGAAATGCATCTGCCAAGTGCTGGCTAGCAGGTGAGAGAATAAACAAGGAAATGAAAGATGGAGGATATGCAAGACTAGAGTTATCCTCACACCAAGTGGCTTCTTGCGCCTTTGGCCAATAAAAGTGTCCAAGCAAATGTTGTCGACTTGTATCATAATTGGGGTAAAAATACTGAAACAGCACATGTGTTGATGTCCTTTTTAAGCAGTGATAGTACAGTCAGATCTGCGAATGAAATCTGTCTAAAGTATCTTCAGGCTCTAATTGAATGTATCTACATATTTGTTTACCCTAGTATGCATTAAGATATCAAAAAAAAAAACAAAAAAAAATATTGACTAAAAATATTATTTCATGAAAATCACTATAGGTTATTCCTTAGAATACATTTGGAATCACTACTAAAACTTCATCTTTTACACAAGATTTGATTTGTCTTAATATTGTTAGAAACTTGAGGGGATTAGAATGATTCCTCAAAATTGAGCTTCTCTGCATTCTATTCAGGATATAATAGATGTTATCAGCACATACCATTCTTCTTGCTCTCATGGCCCTCACTGCAAACACTGGAGTGGGACCTTGTGCCCATCCCAGGCAACTTCTCTTCCGAGTGTTTTCTCAGGTTCTCCAGCAGTAGGGGCTTGAAGGATTCCCGGCCCACACATACAAGCACACTGGGGCACTGCATCAGACTCTGAATACTGTCAATCTGTGGGGATCAGTTTATACAGTTAGAACCTAGGCTTTACAGTAATTTACACACATATATATATATATGTATGTATGCAGGTGCTACCCACCTATGATATTCCACAGGGGTCAGTACTTGGACCACTTTTATTTAATATATATTTAGATTTTTAGATAAAAATAAAATAATCCTCCTTTGCAGTAAAATAAAGCTCTGCTGATTGTTTTGACACAGTTTTAACAATAAATGCTCTTAAACGCTGGAGTAAATGTAGAACTGCTAATTTACCAACCTTTAACCCTTTGGTTGGCATGCTGATTGCTGGTCATCATAGCAACGAGAGAAAGATTTAAGACAAACATTGATCATTTAGAGACAAATGGACTTATTTGCATTAATAAGCACTCCAGCTGGTTTCCTGATATATTTAATCTGCAACGAGAAACTCTCAAACACTAAGAAGTCGCGAGACTGAAATCAGCTTCTCGTTCGCCAGCCTCTTGTTCGAATTTCCCCATTCCTTAAATGGTGCAGAAGTTACATTCTGGCACCTCAGGCACCATTTTAAGTGGAATGGGAATATTCAAATGAGAAGCTCATTCAGCCTTGTAAAAAGTTGAACACTGAGAAATATTTTACCAGAAAATATTCTACTTTTGCGGAAATGTATCCTGCCAGAGATGCGAGAAAAGCAGCTATAGCTGAGCTAAAGCTAAAAGCAGAGCAAACTAAGTCTGCGTTTTTGTTTGTTACATTTTTTGCTTATTCTAGTACATTAGCACATACTGAGACATATTTACAGCCAAGGTGGCAAGATGGACATAAAATATTGTGGCTGCCAAGGTGTTTTTTTTGTTGAAAGGACAAAATAGCTCCTCTTAACATTTAGGATGCCAAGCCCTGCCATAGAAGAACCTCTTTTGGTTCCCTAAAAATCCTGTCAGTGGATGACATGGAGAACCATTTTTGTAAATGAGATGCATGAGAACATTTAATAAAAAATAAGTTTACAAAAACCTCCAGATATTGTAAAGGCTCTAGTAAGAACATGTGAATCTAATAATAGAAGCTTTAAAGTATATAAAAAACATTCAAAAGATTCTTCAAACTCACAAATTTCTTTTTCAAACATGGTTCTTTAAGGTACCAAAAATGGTTCTTCTATGGCATTGCTCAAAGAGCCCTTTGTGGCACCTTTCTTAGTGTTTACATGATTTACTGAATAATAAAACATTCCAAAACATTTCAGTCTTTTGTTAGATCTTACATAAGATCCCAAAATTTCATATACTATTACACCAAATCTTTAAAAACAATGATATTGTAGCTAACCTTCCGTCCGTCCAGGGTGTATAGTTTCCTGACATGGCATTGCATGAGCTCTGAAATCTCGTCCATGAACACGCGGAGGCTACGAGCTGTCCTTCTACTTAAGATGATGGACCTTCTTACTGCAGGGTCACTGTTCTTCACTAGCACAATCCTCTTTGGATGCCGATGGTAGTGCTGGCCAGAATGACCTGTGGGGGGTTCCTCAGGTCGGGAGGGCTTTTTCCGGGAATTATGTGGGTGGCTGTGGTGCCAGACAGCAGGTCTTTTCCCTGCAGCCTCCACATCGATTGGCCTAACATAGTGGCGATCAGAGCAAAGGTAGCATCCTCCATCCTCTAACTGCTCCAGGCGCTGAATGGAGTGAGTGCCTCTGGGTGTGGTGATGGTCCGCACACCAAACGGCAAAGGCACCTTCTGCGAGAGGTCATCCAACAAGGCATCAAAGCATTTGAAGCTTCTCTTATGAATTGCCATCCTGACACCGCTGAACTGGGTGTCTCCGCTCTTGAAGAAAGTGATTCTTTTAGCCGGAGTGGCAGAAGTCACACTGGAGAAGCGGGACACTGGACGTTGAGAGTCATTTCTAATCTTGGGGCTTGCATTGGAGGAACCTGCTCTCTGCATTCTTCCTAGTCAGTCTACACTGTAAAGGGAGATATTTTTGAGATTTTATTAACAGTCACTCCTTGATAACAGCAAAGCAGTTCAAAACCACTTAAATACCACAAAAGAACTGTATTAGGTGATTCTGTTAAAGTTTAATTTGCAAACATGTTTCACAAAATAACTAGTTGAGATAAACAATTACTTATGATCCACTGAAATATAAGAACAGTTTCACTTGACTTTTTTTGTATACTGATACCTTTGCTTGTAAATCAGCATGTATTGAATAAAATATTAGTAGTTTTATTTCATTTATTTTGTTTGAGCCAAGTTGTATTAATTGTATTCCAAGTAGGATTATATTACTTGTCTACAGTTTCTTAAAAAAACAATATTTTTTATCTTTATATTATCTAAGAATGTAAGTCACATTTGGCAGCGTATGAATCCAAATTTAGCCAGATATGTAATATCCTCTGCATTGTGGAATTCATGACTATATAAGTATACTTTATGAAATTAGGAAAGGGGTGATCCGTTTATAATAGCTATCAAGGCAATTTGAGCTCCGTAATATCAGCTCAAATGTTGTCGGCGATGTTACATTTCAGACAGTGCAAAGCTGTGAATAAGTAGTTATTAGCCAGTAAATCACTTTACATGCTTGCATGATGCTGTATTAAGTCATGATCTTTTTAATCAGTTACATGCTCTAATATAGAATTTTTCTAAAGCTGGATTTACTGATGTTAACAACATCTTTATACCTTATGCTTTTAAGCAGCTGTGAAACTGGGCCTCTGTTTGAGGATTAATCAGATGCTCTTTGGAAAAGTTACAGGTCAATTTAAATAGCATTTCCTTCTTAGCCCTTAATTGCCACCTTAATCCAACATTCAAAATAGTAGGCAAAAGAGTTTATACTGTACAAATCAGACACACATGCAGTTCATCTACATAAATAAAGCAAATGACCATCAAATGACCCCTTTAATTTGGAAACGATCTCATGACTTCACTTAATCAGGAAGTCACATAACATCTTTTATTTTCGTACACAATATGTTGCTCATTAACCCAACTCAAATAAAGCTAATTCACCACATTTCACCCAACCCCAAACTAATTTGCCTTATTTTACTTAGGAAAAATGCTTTGTGAGCGGACAACATGGCCTAGACTTGACCTCTGCAGAAGGTCTGAACAACACCAGTTCCAGTAACCAGCTTAAAACTTCCCCATATCTTCATTTCTGATAAGATGTGACCCATGTTAACTTTTCTGATACAAATTCTGACCAATTCTATACATTAGAAAACAATGTTACCTACACTCTTAAAAAAGACAAGGTTCTATGTAGAACCATGAACACTCATAGAACCATTTGTATGCTTAAAGGGTTCTTTACATCTTGAAATGTTTTTAGATTGATAGAGAATGTGTTGTATATGGTTCTATATAGAACCTTTTTGAAAAGGTTCTATATAGCACCGAAAAGGGTTCTTCTACTGTTACAATGTCAAGATTGTAACAATAGAAAAATGTTCATGGTTCTACATAGAACCATTGTCTGTACTAAAGAACTCTTGAAGAACCATTTTTTAAAGACTGAATAAAAACTAGCCACCATTTCCTAGAATACAGAAACAGAAACCATACTCACACTGATAGGACGCATGATCCAGGTTAATGTTAACAAATATCAGAAAATAAAAACAATGAAAACAAATCTATAAGACCAAGAGCAGCAGCATGTTTCAGGTAATATCCAACCATGTGAACAGTAGCAACTGTCACAGTACCGTAAGTTCAAAAGCCCTCCCACAACAGGTCTAGCCGCTAATCACGTCCTTTGGAAGCTAAGGATAGAATGAAAAGCTCCTTTAATCATCTTGAGATTTCACTGAAAACTAGGAGAGCATTAGACACAGCACAGGGAGGCCCACATCACACAACAAATTAGACAAACAGAGCAGAGATGTCAAAAAATCATACTAAAATGAACACAGCTGTATTTACTGTGATTTCATGGCATGGCAGGTTATGAAAATGGACATTTGACTGCAGCTGGCTGGCAGGACAGACACTGGTTCACTGGAACACTGTCATACACACAGTATAGGTAAACAATGTCACTCTGCATTAATGCAGGAACATCACAGGTGAAGTAAAGACATTTGCATGAAATTCTTTTCACTGTGAGGCTGTTATTTCAGGGGAACTTAACCTGCAGTGTACAGCATCACTTGTGGGTAGATGCTAGTTGAATGGCTCTATTTGCAGACCGGAGCTGGCATACAGAAGTGTGCAGTGTCAGTACACAACTCAGAGGTTACATCAGAATACAACATTTAGGGCACCAGATCTTGGCTGAGAATTCCTACACTGTAGGAAGGCTCATCAGATCAACTTAAAAAATGACTTCATGCAGTAACAAGTAATTGAATTAGTTGAACTCAAAAAATGACACTGATTGAAAAAATCCTTCATTCAAATTATTTATTTAGGTGGAATAAAAATAGTTTACTTATTATGACATGAAGTAGTTTAGGTTGATCTGACAAGCCCTTTTTTAAAGTGTAATATTAAGTATTGTGGCATCCTGCCACTGGTTTGTGCTGCTGTGGGAGCGTGGGAGGTGTGGCCATGCAAAGCAGCCACGCGCAGAGGCTCTCCCTTGCTGCATATTCAACAAAAGAGCATAAGCCTATAAAGGTGACTCCATTATGATGATGGAATACACCTACTGTTGATGTAAAACATGAAGATGTGCCTTTGGTAAAGCGTGAAGGTGTGGCTCACCTAACAATCTGAATTTTCTCTAGCAGGAGCCAGAGAAGTCGCTTTAGTGTTCATCATTTAGAGAAGAAACAGCCATAAACCTCAGCAGGATCTAACGAACACATGCGCTTGCAGTAACAACTTTGAAAACAAGAGGTGAAAAGGTTGACGTTGAGTTACTTAGTATCATTTATGTGATTTTCATTAAAGGTCTACATCAAATCAGTTAATGCTAAAAAGCATTAAGTTAAAGACCATATAAAACACAGCTACAGAGGCCCGTGTTTGTTTCACTGGAGAGTGAAAGAAAACAATTTTTAATCACTAATTCTCATTTTAATTACCATTCAAATTATTTGCTGTGTTAGATTGTAACAATTCGTTGTACACCTATTTATTAATTTTTTGGCCTTTTTTTCTGTCAGATGAAAAACAGAAGTGCCAGTTTCAAAAATCCAAAAACAACAAAAAATATTCGGTGGCCAAAAATTCTGTGCATCCTTAATTGATGGGAACATGGATGAAAGTGTACAAAAGCATGTTGGGTGCAAATCTGCAGAAGTCTGCAAAGAAACAGCTCAAACTATAACAACTCTAAACACAACAGGTGCCTTTTGAAAGAACATTTTGCCAAAAAGGAAAATAAATTTAAAATGATCTGTTTAAAATAAATGGCACTTGGTTTGACAATTTATTTCCTCAAACAATTAATTTTCTAACATTTCTAAGTGTGGCACAAATTTCTAAATTCTATTTGGGGTCACTGTCTGTAAAGCTCTTTATAATGTGAATAATGTGTGCTACTGTTAATTCACTCATGCATTGCCAAGACAGTGGCTTACTCTAATCTCTAGCAAAGCCAGCACATCCTCTGGACTCTTAAGTAAAATGACCCTCTGTTACCTCCAAGAAATACTTAACAAAAAAACATGGGTTACTGCTTTTGGAACTGCAATTCAGAGCAACACTGCTAGAACATTTATCTATTAATATGTGTACACTGTGAACAACAAGTATCAGTTTCTTGTTGTGTGCTTGGCTGTGAAACATGTTCATTTTAGAACTGGGCAATATGACTATATTTTTAATGTGACAATTTACGTCAAAATACAATATAATTAGCACTTCTGAACATATTGTGTATATCGTCAGTACTTATAGAACACTAAACCTGCATGTTTCATTATAAAGACAGAAAAATTAGCCCCATTAATCTGAACTCTGCAACACAGAGTATGCCAAATATTGAATAAAAATCATTGTGTTCACAGGTTTTGAAAGTATTTTTTGAAATGTAGCACTACTGGTTCTTGTTTCTCTGTTCCAACTGATCAGATGTCTGAAAAAATAAGTATTGTGACATTTTGTGTATCATGAAAATTTAACAATATAAGTATAACGATATTATATTTTTGCCCATATCGCCCAGCTCTAGTCAATTTCCTATGGAATGGTGATAATAGCTACATTTTCTCAAAGCCTTTCTAGATGTCCTATCTTCTAAAAAATTACACAGTTCATATACCTATCACAGGTGCTCATAGAAGCTTCTAGCAAAAAGAGACTTGCTCCTGAACATTAATAGAGAACATTAACATAAATGCCATACTTAATACATCTTCTTAAATATCATTTATAGGGGCTCAAGAATGGGCAGTTATTTATTTGCTACACATGACTGCTATCTTCTACTTTATTTTCTTTTACTCAAGCAGGCACTTGTGAGAGTACCGGGAGCAGTCTGCTATGAAGCTCTGTCAGACACGCATATCACTAATCTGAAACAAAAGCATTTTAGGGCCCAAGAGCTGTCGGCTGGAAAGCAAGGTGAAAGGCATAATAGCTTCTCTAGGGATACAGCACAATACCTGCAATATGTTACAGCAAGCTCAACAGAGATCATTAGAGAAAAATAGTACTCTAAGATCATTTCTTGATTTAAGGGGTGCCAGTTATACATCACATACATCTTCATATTTAAATACCCTGCTTTGATATAAGGTGCACAGCAATCACAGATCACCTTTAAAGTCAATATCCTGTCTTCACAGATTGCAAAAAGACAAAAACACTTGATGTGTGATATCCATTAAATGTGTATGTACAGCACAAATGAAGTGGAGCTATTATATACCTGTTACCAAGGTTATCGTCAGGTTACAGGGTTATATAAAGACAACACAGAGGTGCAACAAGTAATCAAGAACAATACTTAGATAAAAATAGAACAGGGAAAATACTGGGGCCAATACTAAGGCATTAAAAAGTACAATCCAAATGGCACGCCAAAGTAAAGAATGTTTAAAGTATGTTTGAAGATAATATCACATATAATGAGAAACACTTTAATCACCCCCTACATTCTGTGCAGTATTCTTCATTAGTCTGTAACCGCCTGCTCAGTCAGTGTAAAGCCTTATTAGCTCACAGGATTTTAGGACAGCCCTGTTGAGTTTGACATTCAGAAGCTTTACTTCAGCGTGACACTAACAATTGAGGCTGCCAGCCTATTTCAGTGGCTAAAATGTTTCAAGGTGACTTTATTCCCTTATCACATATATTCACATCCATTCTGCAAACCATACATTTTATTATGACTAATTGCTGATTTAGGCCCTGTTCCATTCTGATCATCATCCTACAGCCCTCTCCCTGGAGCCATCTTCTATCTATCACTCTAATTCTACCTTGCATTGCACTGATCAGCAGCTTACCCTTTGGGCATGTATTCCTCATCGCAGTGTGCTGTGCCAAAAGCTCCCAAACTATGGCACTGCCTATGAAGTAATCCTGTAAGCCATTTCAGCAGGTTCAGCAACGCTTAAAATGGCTGTTCTCTCTCGCACAAGCAGGTAAAGATGAAACAGCAGCAGGTCCAGCATGGCGTCACCCCCCTATGTGGAGTGCCACTCAACACCCACAGATTTCCACAGGAGAGATGACACTGCTCTATATTGCTCCCTTCACTCTGTCACCATTCATTCCATTAGGCTAATTATCAAATGTATGCAGACCTCCATACAAGGAGGAGGAGTGACTACTATGAAAGAGGATTATACTGTTCAGCCATCTGTGCCAAAAGATATTAACTCTTAGTTCCCCAAAAACAAGCTGTGTTGTCTGAGTTTGTGGTAAGAAAACTTAAAATGACTGTTTACTCTAAAGTTAGTTTGAGGAGGCCACAAGTTAGCATATAGCCTAGCATATTTAGGCCTATTCAACCTGCCAGTGGAATACAATACAATACTAGTGTATGTATGCCAGTATAAACATTTATTGTACACACACAATAATTACCTAACTTTTTACTCATGATTCATGCTATTATCATATTATTGTATTAAGAAAAAAAAACACACTAACACATATACATACATCTAGTGTTCTGAATGTAATTTTTAACAGCAGCAGTGTGTTGGTGATTATACATTTAGCCTATTTCTGTATTTTAAAAAAATGTCCTTGGTGTCTTTTTCTATAAAGGCATGGCAGTCTATAATAATCTCTTGTTTCCTGTTTAATCTTGTTTTTTTACAGTCTTAATAGGCGTTATATGTTTGGTTTCCTCCATGATTTTTGTTTTTCCGGCTAGACTCTTGGTACTCTGCACATTGAGTATGACATAATTGCACTGCAAGTTTACTGTGAGCTGTGAAGGTGCTCAGGCTAATAACACACTCAAACATCTGTAGAAACATCAAATAAAACATGAAATCACAAGCTGACAGCTTGATTGTACCTCTACTCTTCATAAACATATCTGGTGAAATCTGTGTTTGACTAAAATTCTGTAAACTTATTCCAAAACTGTGTGTGGTGAATATGGAGGTATACCTTATTATTGATTATCAGCACATGTCTACTAACATGCTTAGTAATTCATGCACAAGAAAGAACTGTAAGCAGTGAAACTGTAAGACTGTAAGAGTTTAAAGCATTTAAAATTTAACTACAACCCTTCATGCAGTTGTATTTTTGCCATATACATAAAAAAATTCATGTCAAAGTAAAGAAATCCACAAAATATATTCTTCTTCTTATATAATAATAATAATAATAATAATAATAATAATAATAGTAACCAAATTATTATTGTTGTTAATAACAACGGCTTTACATCGTGATTCCGTGTTGTACTAAATTATGTAAAAGCCTGGGAGGGTCGAGCTCAAATGCATGCAGATCTAAAACTCCGCACTCTTGTACGCGCGAGCTAGAGCGCCGGAGCGCCAGAGCGCGTGCGTGTCGCATGGCAACAAGTACGCCCCTAACAACGCCAGCAGCCATGGCAACGGACTCGACGGAGAACATGTTGAAGGAGTTATCGACACTCGAGGTGAAGTCCTGCAGAACCTTCTTAGTTTACATTTTATTAACATATTCCAGATATTTCTGAGCTTTAAGGTCATTTTCAGTAAGCTGAACTGTAGTCTGTTTGGTTAAATTTGGTTTTGAACGGGTCAGGGAGAATTTGTAAAGCAGTCATTGTTTGAGGTGATTTGCAGGTTAGCTAGCGTTAGCTAACCTAGCTAGCTAAGTAATGTTATGTTTTGGTGAGAAAACAAACAATCATGTAACGCTGTAATAGCCATGTTTTTCGGTAGCTCGTGTCATGGCCTAGCTACCGTAACGTTACCGTTCTGTGCTAACGTTAACGTTAGTGGCTGCCAAATGTGCTGCTGTGTTTTTCACAACGGTCCTGCAACAGGCTTCAACAGGTTCGCATCAGGTGATGTTGGAAAGCCTAAGATCGTGAAATCTTGGCCGAGCGTCACTGTATGTTAGAATACAACTGCAGCAGCAGCTTACCTCTACACAACTAAATGCAGTCGATCCGATCAAACGATCCGGAGAGACAGAGCCATCTCTCGCTTTCGACAGCTTCTTCGAAGTAGTAACGTTAACGTTAGAAGACGAGGGCTCAGACGGAGACATCCACCAGCAGGCTAAATCCGATAAAGACTATTTAAGCGAGCACTGACACGGTTCTTTGCTTCTTTTTATTCTTCCTTATTTGCCTTCGTGCTTCGTTTTGTTGTAGAGGGACGAAGGCATTCTGCGCCTGAGCAGTTGTTTTCAATGGAGGGAGTTTGAAGGCGACGACCAGAGGCAATATTTGCACCAGGAGTTTGTGTATGAGAGTGTAATGTATTGTGTGAAGCGTGGGCTTCCATGGTCTGCAGTGGCACAAATAGCAAATATGACTAAAGAGCTCCTCCCTGAGCTTAAAGGTGAGACACTGCTGATGAATACAACACTCAAAAACTTCTGTTGCCTCCATGTTTCAGTCATCATCTACAATATGTCATTAAACATCAACAGTAATCATACACTGTATGTCCAAAAGCATCCAGACAGCTACTGTATTGTATTTGGCTACTGTGAAGGGCATCCTTTGCTGACACAAGCAGTTAGTTTAGTTACAGCTTGTATAATCTTGTAAAAAGCATTGCCAATGGAATGGGATGCTCTGGAGCATTCACACACAAGCCACTGTGCCCAATACCAAGCTTCAGCTACACTGGCAAAAAAACGTTGTTGAATTTACATGATTCAAAGGTGTACAAATGTGAACAAATGAAATATATTACATCAGCTTAAAATAAGTACCCTAAATGAAGTGCTTACATATAGCAATTATGTTCATGCAACCTATTTAATTCATGTTGAGGCAATGCACACATTTGAACCATGTACATTTAAAGCAACTTCTTTTCAGTGTAGAGAGCTATAAAAACCCCCAGCGTGTTCTCTGTAGTAATGGAGCACCAGCTAATGATGATTTGGGAGTGACATTTGTGATCCAGAACTAATCAGCCAACATCAGTGCCTGGCCTCACTAATGCTCTTGTGGCTGAATGCAATCAGATCCTTCCAGAACAATGTTCCAACATCTAGTGTAAAGCCTCCCTAGAAGAGTACAGGCTGTCACTACAGCAAAGGAGGGGCAAACCCCCTACCAATGACCTTGATTTCTGAATTATAAAAATATTGTATGAGCAGTTTTTTGCAAACTTTTGCACATAGTGTACATTGCTTTTTGCCTATCCATTGGTACATAAGATTCTTAAAAATAAAAAAACAATATGGTTATTAAGATGCAGCCGGACAAAGTATACTGTAAAAGTAAATTTAATCAGCTCCCACCTCTACATGATAGACATTTCAGTTAAATCCCAGTTCAGAGAAAAGCTTTAATGAAAATGCAAGAACTTTCAGATGCTTTCTTTGTCCTTTAGTTCCAACTGAACATGTGTGTCTGTGTGACCCCTCCTCTCTGTCTGTATCAGGTCTGGAGAAATCTGAAGTCATTTCCCTGATCCAGGCACGGCTGTCACAGTCTCACCCTCGACTCTCTCCTACTCATCATGCTGTCCTGGGTGACTTCATTTTAAAGGACTATCTTCGTCATCAGTGCCTCTATCAGGCTTTTTTAAAGGGCAAAGTGAACCTTAAAAGCATGCATTCCCAGCTTAAAATCGATGTTCCACCACATCCTCTACCTCTTTGTGAAGGAACTGATGTGGTGGTTTGGGAGAAGCAACAGGCTTTGAAGGAACTAAAGGCAGCTGAGGCAGAGAAACAGGCAGAAATCCACGGACTCAAAGAGCAGGCTCATGCACAACTGATGGCAAAGCTGCAAGACACTCTTGGTGGCCTTTCACTCGAAAACCGACTAGACGAACAGGTACAAGTACTCATCATTTTATATCTGAAGATACCATCGTAATATTGTGCATGGTAGCACACATTAGGCTAGTGAATGGTAAATGGATGAGTGATCAGTCAGTTTAGGAGCTGATGATGACTAGTGAAGTCATTTGTGGAGATTAAGGTGTAATTAAGCCCTGCTGGGTATAGGCACCTATTTTATAAGAAAACAGTCAAAGTACGACACATTGTTTTACCAACCATACGTCACGAAAGAAAATGGGCCTTAAAGAGCTACACTATGCGTTAATCAGCTATGGAGTATAGAGCTGTGCTCAATCAGCAGTTATCGTGTAAACCGGATTAAATGATTACATTTGTTTACTACTTTGAGTGGTCTGACTTTATTAAATAGGTTAATAGGTTACAATTTACTTATATAATATATATACAATAACATTAAATATATATATATATATATATATATATATATATATATATATATACACACACACATAAGTAAATGAATAAATGTAAATGGTAGTATATATCACCTACATTCATTAGGTGTGTATGTGTGTTCAGTACAATTTATTCAGCATTTAACAAATATTCTCTTCCTGACATTTTCTGCTCTTTACCCTTGTAGGCAGTGAAGATCATGGTACGCACCTTTCTGCAGTCACATGGGGACACTGTAAAAGATATGTTAATGAAGGAAATCAGAGCTGTACAAGAGCTGTTGGAACTAAGATTGAGTCAAAAGTCTCGTTCTGGAGCAGGACACTCTTCACATGTATCAAGCTTCTCTGAAAAGCCAAACTCCACAAAAGCAAAAAAGAAATAAAAATAATAAGAACTACTTTGATGTTTCATATTGTGAATCTAATAAATTAAATTTTTGAATCCAGCTTTCATTGCATTTTTTTCCATTGTACTTTGTATGTATTACCATGGTCTAAGCAAAAACACTGTCGCCCAATTTCCTGGACATAGATTAAGCCTAGTCTTAGACATAATTGCAGTGCCAATAATGAATCCCCATTTGGAAATTCTTTTTAGTCCAGTCTGGGAAACTGGCCTTATGCATGCTAATATGAAACATGGAATTTTTTGTTGTTATTGTTTTTTTTCAAGTATATTAAGACAAACTGCTTTGAACAGTTGTAGACCATTCATTTGAAAAGGCCCACTCTGAGAGGTATTTAATTAGTGTCAGTAATAAATAGTAGACAAATACATGGCAAACAATCTTTAATGACTAAAAGAAACATGAAGTATAAAACAGCAATGATTCTGTCTAATATACTCTACATTGCGACTACAGATGAAGAGACATGATCCTTGAAGAGTTTTAAAATCACTGTAACTGTGGGGAAACTGTTGTAGGCAAATGCTTTTGATAAAGCTGAAAGACCAACATACAGTCTTCATAGTAAATAGCACCAGGTTCTTGATGTTCATATGAACAAAACCATATTGCATTTTTTCCATATGTGCACACAATAATAAATAAATAGCTGTAAAATAAGTTACATTGATGTGATTACAGTAGCATAAAGTGCTACTAAAACCAGCTTAATAGTACAATAGTGCATTAAAATGACACTGTCCTTATGATGCAGGAAGATGACAACAATATATCAAAATTACTGCAAAACGATGACATGACAAGTGTCAGATACTCTGTCAAGTATTCAAGGATATTTTTGTAGAAAAAAAAAAGTTAAAAAGGAATCATCCTAGCTAATGTACAGAGTGCTGTATTTGGTATAGTGTAACGACAACCCGTATATATACAACCCTGTATGTGTTGATGGGGGAAAAATATTAAACAAATTAAGAAATATATACAGAAACACTTCCCACTTGACCCCAACATCCATACTAGGAATGGGTATCATCTGAAAGCTTCCTATTTCAGATCCTATATAAATACTCGGCTGCTTGTCACCACACCTAAAAATGGTATACACCATATAACACAATTGTTTGTAGGTTAGTGCATGGTTTACCTGAGTGGAATATCATGTGATCTAGTAGTTGAAGAATTTTTACTATACTGACTCATACACAGTCATATGCAAAAGTTTTAACACCCCCAGTGAAAACAAGTGAAAATACATTCTCTACAGGGAACAAACATATAACTTTATCTGCTATTTTTCTGCAAATTTTGTTACGTAATTTCTATTTTTTAACATGTTGGAAAAAAAAAAACAAAATATAAAATTTCCCATGACTTTTGCACAAGCCACATTGTATGTTTTCCAATATGTTAAATTTACCAATTAAAATGTGCGTATATGTGTTCTCTGTAGAGGATATGTACTTATTTTCACATAGAAAATCAACAAAATATGTAATCTAACCAGGGAGCCCAAACTTTTGCTTTTAACTATAAGCTCTTCATTATATTGGCTACAAAATACAATTTTTTTTTAAATGTAAAATACTGTTTATCTCTTCTGTTTAGCTGGATGACTCATCTTTATCATCTCATTAGCTGTAGATCACAGTACTGCTTTCACATTTTGGATACTTGCCTATAAGTCTACATTCCAAAGAGTTACCACCTTTTTCCTGTCAGCTTTGATACAATGATCCAGTGATGGTGTTTTTGTGTAAACTAGTGCCAGCAAGATTCGATCACTGCATCTACTGTCCTAAAATTTGGTATCCATCCATCCATCTACTCTAGACGAGCTTCACAGACGAACAAGCTGGGAATCCACCAGCTGCACACTTTTTCTATGGTTGGACCCACCTAGTACACTCCAGAGAAAGGCTACTAACATTCCGTAATGTCCAGCATACCTAAGTATGCAAAGACTAAGTGATGGTATTTAGTTAGCATGTGCAACTCTCGAGTCAGAGCCAATGAAGCTAAGCATCGTCTGGACAAGCTCTGCTAAGTCATATTCATGTTTCCAGCCCCAGTCCTTTCTTGCATTGCTGTCTTCAAAGTTCATGGGCCAACTGTCAGCTAAGAATGAATGAAAAGAAGTAAGTTTACAATATTGCAGCATGTGTAAAATGTAACAGTACATGTATAGATCTGCAGCCTAACACATCATTTTTAAGCATATTCATTGTCATACATCTTTAGGTCTTACCGATTGCCTGTTTGACTGGGTCAATTTCATAAGAGACTTCAAGATCAGGCAGCTGTTTCTGCACCTCCTGGGCCAGCTCCTCAGGAGTGAAGCTCATGGCGTTGATGTTGTAGGTACGCATGCTCAGCGTCTCAGCAGGAGCCTCCATCACCTCCAGTGTGGCTCGCAGACAATCATCGATGAACATCATAGGGAGGCGTGTGTCAGGCTTCAGGTTGCACACAAACTTACCCGTTTTTATAGCATCATGAAATATCTGGACAGCATAGTCTGGGGAGATAAAGGCTCAGAGTAAATGCAGGTCTGAATCGCATAGACCGAAATGCCAAAATCAACTGGTGACAGCTGTTATAAAATGGTAGAACATAACCTGTTGTTCCTCCACCAGGCTGAGAGTCTGCTGAGATGATGCCTGGATACCTGAGACAACGGAAGTCAAGGCCATATCTGTGGTGGTAATACTGTCCAAAAAAAATAAATTATGATGAACCTGAACCTGTACAACAATGTCAGTTGTGCACTGATAAATGTCCTCTGGAAAGCAGCTTCTTAGACAAGTCAGTACATACTTCTCCCATTAGCTCAGCATGGACCTTGGAGACCCCATAAATGGTTCGTGGCCGCTGGATGCACAGGTCTGGTGTGGGGTTACGAGGGGATGTGGGTCCAAAAGCTCCTATTGTGCTAGGAACAAAAAGTCGAAGTCCATGCTCCACAGCAATGTCAAGGATATTGTGCAATCCTTAAAAGGAAGAAGTGAAAGAAGAGAGCGAGAGAGGGAGAAAGATGACTCAATAGTTTTCTCTAAATATCTGCCCTGAAAATTATGTAAATTTTGTCTTTTCATCACTCACCAGTGATGTTGACATCACGAGCAAGGGTTACATTTGCCTCGCCAACTGCACTCAGAAGGGCACTGTAGTGCACCAGCCAGGTAATACGATTGTTCACAACAATTTCTCGTAAATTCTTGTAGTCCAGTATATCAGAATAGATAAATGGACCTGGAAATCAAATATACATCAGTATTAAACACATAATAGCGTTAAGGAATGTCTGTCAATTTCAGAATAAAAGTTTTAAAAAGGACTCCACACTTACCGCTGTGGAAAACTTGATTTGGAGGCTTTCTGATGTCAGACAAAATGACATTGTTGTTTCCGAATTGCTTCCTGCAAGACACATTCAGAGAGGGTGGAATTTAGAATTTAAATGTGTAATTAACATGACACAAATTTGTCACATCAAAATACATTATTTTACATTTTAATCATCAAACGAATGTATGTGGGATGTGCAATGTGTGCAAGTCCTGCTGTACAGTAGAAGTCATTCCAAAAAAGTCACCAAACCTACACCACTCGATTTAAAACATTTAAAATAAAATTATCTTCAAATGAAATTAATATAAAATCTTACAAGCATGTGATTAATTTAAAAAAATCACTCCTACCTAAGTAGCTTGGCAAGCCCCACACCCAGCTGCCCCAGACCCCCTAAAGCACGAGACACAAGAAAGCAGATATGAGTGGTCACCAGTGACATTAGCCAACTGTTGCCATGGAAACCACACTTTGGTTTTGCGAATGCAGTTACCAGGGCAACTCATCATGCAGTGTACATTATGTTTATGATTTAGATAATTTACATCTGCTGAGAGATTAGAACAGAAATGATGTTACTGTAATGCTTTGACACCTGTGATCAAAACTTTGGGGTGGTCAGTCTCGGAGAAGGACACAGAGTGAAAGCTGGCATCAGGGGTTACTTGACGTGGTGAGAAACTGATGTTCCGTGCAGAGATGTAGAGGGGTTCACAGCTGCACCCTGGAGCCAGAAGGACTTGCTGTGCTACCTTACTCGCAGCTCTGACGAAGGGCATTTCCCACTCTATAAAGAGAAGTGCATCAAAAGTAACTTGTAGTGAAGTTGCATTGTGAACACGTTTGCTGCTCATTCTTCGTGGTGATTTATGGCAGGGTCACATTTGTTAATAATGATGCTGGTTTAAACTCTAGCCTGGGATGCCCAATCCTGGTCCTGCAGATCTACCACCCTGCAGAGTTTAGCTCCAGCCATACACATCCAGGTAATGAAGTGCATCTGAAAAATTGAGCCAGGTGTGTTGGATCTTAGCTCTCCAGGACCAGGATTGGGCACCCCTGCTCTAGGATGTGGCATATACTGCCACCTTGTGGTTATAGCTCTATCACCTAAAAATAAGCAGGTATACTAAAGCCTCCCAGAAAAGCTTAACTTAAAGTAAATGGGTCAGAGAGGGATTCTCACACTGGTGGTAGGAATATCACCAGCATATAAACTGAGCCATATAAAGTTTGGTGCTTGACAAAAAGTTATTTCCTATATGGGCAGTCAGGCAGAGAATTCAGGACACTTATTAATAAAGTCAGCAGCCTGTCATCTTCTACTTTACCTTAGCAGTAAATCTGTGGAAAGCGTCTGCAGTTCAGCTTTAGCTCTGTATAGCAATGCAGGCTACAGGCAGTACAAAATGCATTCCTCAACCAGGATATTCCAACCTGGGCTGTGATCCAGAGTCCATTTGGTTATCCAGATGAGTTCTGCACCTGACTAAGAGCAGAATGGACTCTAGAGCCCATTGGCTTCTCAACACCATGCCTTTGCACACTTTATTATGCTGATACAACTGATTCAACTTATCAGTAAATTGTAAAGCTTTGAAATCATTAGTTGAATCCAGATATAAAAT